GAAGGATAAGTACAACAACAAGAAGAAGAAACTCCTGCTAGGTGATTCCGGAAGTGAGACGTCTGAGAGCCAGGGCTCTGAATTGAACAGTAAGCCTATCGCGGATTCGAATACTCTGAGTGATGCTTCGTCTCATTCAAAGGATATAGAGGACCTGTCACACTTCGGTCGTATGTCAGCCAAAGGCTTGTACTCTAGCGTTGCTGCAAGTAAAGAGAAACCCACGCCAGACAACAATGTGTCCCAGGGATGCACAGTGGACAGTGACAAGAAGCGAACTCTGATCGAGTCACTGAGCAAGTTGGACATCAAAGGCAAGCAGCGGATCCAGCCAGTGAACGCAGTCACAGGCAACGATACCTTGCAGGGCATAAATACTCAGCGTGGTCCCCAACCAGTGGACAGGGCGAGAAGAACTGTGATCACTCCTTCATATGCCACGGTTCTTTCTGGAAAACGTGCTCTTCTCAATAATTCATCTGACTCCCTCCAGGCAACCATGGCAGCATTTTCTAAAGTATCAGACGAGTCTTCCCCCAGACAGGATAGCAATTGTGAAGCACGCTCCAGCAATGCAATACTGTCTCCAATTCCAGAACTCTCTAGTGAAGCTGCTACACCTGGTAACCTGAACTCCCACAAACCACTCAGTCAAACGGACCCAGATACCGCAGGTCCCAGCTCAATCGACAATTCAACCTCCACCCCCGTGTCCACAGCATCCACTGGCTGGAGCAACACAACGCTGCAAACCAGCCCCCAGACAACTGAGCCATCCTCTGAGCCCTCCTCGTCCAAGGCAGTCAGTCATCGCCATGCCACTAGTCTTCACCACGCCCACCCCCTCCCACCCACACCCCCAAGCAGCACCCATTCCCACTCCCTCTCGACCCCCAACGAGGCCATAACCAACGCCCAGGGCACCCTCTCCGCCCAGAAACCCGAAGGTTTCTTCTGGCAGCTCGACAGCCACGGCTTCCCCTGTGCCAAAGCCCACTGCGAAAAACGCTGCAACCTCTGGGACGGAGCAACAGTGATCTGTCCACGATGCGGGCCCTACTCCGAAGTACGCTACTGCAGTAGAGACCACCTACTCGAGGACATCAAACCTCACTGGCTCTACTGCGGTCAGATGGTATTCCAGCATCCATGCCGCGAGACCTCAATTCCCCGACGAGTGCGCGTCGGTCCCCCCATGATCCCCTGCGTCCATCACTACGACATGCCAGAGCGTCATCGCCAAGCAGTCCACTTCAACATGAACTTCAGAGAAGGCGACTACTTCATTTTCACGGACTGGCTTGATTTCGTGACCGCCGGACTACCAGGTGATAAGACCGCGATACGTTGCTCAAATAGAGTAATGTACGTGGTGAAATTCGATGACGCCGCAGAGAAGGATCGTTTCCGTCGTGTTCTCGCGGCTTGTCTGTTCAGTAAAGATCCCTCACCTTTCCCGACCATCCCCACAAAACACTCACTAACCAACCCCAAATACACAGTGACCATCGAACTCCCCGACCTAACCGACTACCTCTACCGTCTCATCCGGGACAAACTGCGTCTCTCCAACGCCCCAAATCACATCGAACCCTCCCTGCGCTACCAATTCCTGCAAGAGTTCAATGTGACCATCCAGGAACGCATCACCGGCGCCCGCCATGCCTGCGAAACCGACTGGGACGGCCGAAACCGCCGCAATTGCCACGATCCAGTGTGTCGGAGTGAGTATCGTCGCCTGCTGGGATCCATTGGTGGCAGAGGTTATAGTCGGGTGATTGAGGCGTTGGAGTCCACGTATTGGATTCTGAGGGCCGCCAGGACGACGCACCCGACTGTTGGGGATGCGATGAAGCGTATGAGGGGGGAAGGGTATGAGGAAGTGGCGGACGAGGACAGGCGGGTTTTTAGGAGGGGGGATGGGTGGGATGGGGCGGGTACGGGAGACATGGAAATCGAGGGGTTTAATGAGGGGGATGAGATGTGAGGGAGTCGTGGAGGGGAGGGGAGGGGAGTCTGGGGGAGATGTTGGCCCGAGGATGGATGATGATGGGAGGATGAGTGGGATGGGATGCTGACGCGATGCTGGTCGTTGCGTTGCGTCTGTTCTACCTGTCTTTCTGTCTGAATTTCTTTCTTTCGGTTGTCTGCTTGGGTTGGTTGCTCTAAAGCAGGGGATTCGAGGCAAAGACGAGGAGAGAAGGGGGCTCGGATGGATATGATGTCTTGTCTGTGAGGTGGATATCGTTGTGTAATATGCCTGAGATACGATCATTTAGTTGTGGTAGATGTGGCATGAGTAAACTAGTGGGAATGTGTACTATGAAGATAGTAAAAATGGATGATGAAAATTGAATTCTGTGCCAATGTGCCCTTTTGAAGTCCTCTATTCTTCCTATATAGTGGGTAGTGTTGAACCAGCCGTTGAAGGCAATATCAAATTCCCGCTCTATGCTAGCCCGTCACAATAATCAAACATGTTGAAAACGCTCATGCAATATACTTCTTCAGACCGCGCAGCCTCTCCTTGGCCGTCTCCAGCACGTCGTCGTTCTTGCAGACAGCGAAACGGAGATAGTCCTCAGCGATGTGCGCATTGGCGTCGGTGTAGAACTCGGTGGGAGGGATGGCTGCCACACCGACTTCGTGGATCAGGAACCAGCACAGCTTGAAGTCGCGAGGACGGCTGGCGACGTGCGGAGGGAATGGGTAGTCCTCGGGAAGCTTCACGGAAGACATGTTGGCAAGAACGAAGTAGCCTCCCTCGGGGTCGGAGTACTGCGAGCTAGGTTAGTTTAGGCCTTAGAAGATGTCGGCGCTGAAGTACTCACAGGGATCTTGAGCTCGTCAAAGACTTCACAGAAACGCTCCATCTTCTTCTTCATCTCAGCCCGGCTCTCGTCCCAGAATCCGACCTTGTCGGCCTGCTCGAAGGCAACGGCGGCAGCCTCTTGGAGAGGAGACACACTGCTGTAGCAGATGCGGGTGTGCGCGCCGGCCACGTACTTGATCAAATGCTCGGGGCCGATGAGGTATCCTACTCGCCAGCCAGTGGCGTAGAAGGCCTTGCCCGCAGAGCCGACAGTGAGAGTGCGCTCGTAGAGCTCAGGAGACAGGGTAGCGATTCTGGTGAAAGGGACGTAGTAGAGGCGGTCGTAGACTTCGTCGGAAAGGATGATCAGGTTGTGCTTCACGCAAAGCTCTCCGATGCGCTCCAGCTCTGCGCGCGAGAGGACCTTGCCAACGGGGTTGTGACTGTGCTTGGTCAGTTTGCTGCTTGGCATGTCGTTTGTCACGCTACTTACGGAGAGTTCAGGACCTAAAGACATGGTTAGTTATAGCAATATAGATGAGGAAGTAAGGCACGCTTACAATCATCTTCGTCTTCTCGTTGATGGTGTTCTCCAACTCCTCAAAGTCTATCGTCCACTCGGAGGCAGGGGAAGTCCTCGTCGCGCCATCCTTGGGAGGGTGAAGCGGGACGTAGCGGATCTTTCCACCGGGCATCTCGATGTTGCTAATGTACCTTTGGGACCGTCAGACGGGTTCGCATGGCAGAAGTAAAGACGACTCACTGGTCGAAGAAGGGCTCGAAAATGATCACCTCGTCGCCGGGCTCGATGAAGCCCATGAAGGCACTCAGCATACCTTGAACCGTCTGTCAGCTACCAGTCGCGCACACAACCCAGTATGTCCCACCTTCATTTGCACCCGTGGTGATCGTAACCTCGGTGTCCGGGTTGAGAGTCCGGCCAAAGGAAGGCGAGTAGGCATCGGCGATGGCTTTCTTCAGACGCGGGCGTCCCTAATCGAAGGTGAGCAAATGTTCCGGTATGGGTATGTCACAGTCTGGTTGTACCTTGGTGGGGGAGTATTGGTTGCAGTCGACACGGTCAAGGGCCTCCTTGGCGGCATCCAGGGCGAACTTGGGAGGGTTGTAGCCACTGCGCAAGTAGGATCATGGTCAGAAACTCAAGTCATCCTGGTTCGGCGATTTAAAACTCACAAGAAACCCTGTCCCATGTTCACGATGGGCTGGACGGGGGAGGCAGCGGCGGCCTCATTGACAATGGACCTGCCATCCGGTCAGACAATGAGAAGCAGCAAGGGGAGAGTTCGCGCGCATCGCACCAGACATCCTGTCTCTGGCCAGCGACTCTGGCTGCCGGTTTGAAAGGGTCGGGACGAGCCGTGGTGGCCGACATCGCTCGGAAGAGAGACTGGCGGGGTAGTGTGGGAGTGGACGAGGGGCGCAGGAAAACGGCCGGTGAGGGCTGGAACTTGATGGCTCTGGTAGAGAAAATAGCAGCGCGGTGGCCAGAGAACATAGAGGCAGCTGGGCCGGGGAATTGGAGGAAAGCGGGGAGGGAGGAGAGAAGGGAAGAGAAGAGTGGCTCGAAAAGTAGCGAAGAGAGAGTCAGATCAGATCCGGGGGAGACAAGAGCGGGACTCGCTTTGGCGGCCGCCAACTATAATTGCGTGCTTTGCTGGGTCGGACAGCGCTGATAAGATACCGTTCCACAAGTGTGGATTGGAGACTGTCTCGACACGAGTTCTCTGTCACATAGAAGTTCTAGTGCTTGGAGGACCAAAGGGGATTAATTGACTGTCCGCCATCCTCCGGCATGTGCATCCCTACCTCAAGTACAGCAATGACAGTAGCAGTGACAGTAGTAGACAGTGATGAGCTCCGATGGGCGCGATAACGGTGAGTTCGGAACGGACCTCGGTAGGGAGTGCGCGAGTGTCAGCTAGACGTTATTAGAGACTGTCGACGAATCAATTGATGCAGTATGAATGAATGCTGTCTTGCTATTGACTGGGGTGATGTTCTGGTTGTAAATCAGACCGAGCATCGGAAGTGACGCATCAGTTCCTCAGGCACCCAGGAGAACGGACAGCTACTGTTCTTAGTCAGCCGGCTGTTATCGCGCGCGTCGGAAACGCGTTTCACCACTTAATCAGAAAGTGATTTGATAGCTCCATTTCCCATGGCCGCCACTGGGAGCTGCTCTGCACCCAGCTTGCTGGCAGCGTTTGTGTTATAACTCTAATGACTATCCGCCATCATGGTGTCTTGCCCCATTTGCAGCCAATCCGTCTCCTCCCTGAAGATCAACGACCATATCGATTCTGACTGCCAGAACTTTATCGAAGAGCCGTCCAGCTCGGGCGAGACTCCCGCCACTCAGAAAGCTCCGGTTCCCAGCTTCTTCCAGCCAGCCTCTGCGAAGAAAGCTACTGCCCAGTCTGCTCAAGCAAATGGACAGCGAGATCAAAATGTGACGTCTTCCCCCTTGCGCAACGTCAACGGCAAACGGGCGACACCGCACGATGCCAACTCGTCAGAAGTATACGAGAGATCTGGGCCTAGCCAACCGTCGAGTGAGCCAAAGAAACCCAAGGTTAGTGCCTTGCAAAAGGCTGCACCGTTACCGGAACGCATGCGTCCCCGGACTCTTGACGATGTCTGCGGGCAAGAGCTTGTAGGGCCAAACGGGGTGCTTCGGGGCCTGATCGAGCAAGATCGGGTTCCCAGCATGGTCCTTTGGGGTGGTCCAGGAACAGGGAAAACAACCATTGCTCGCGTGATTGCTTCGATGGTTGGTAGTCGCTTTGTCGAGATCAACAGCACCAGTACCGGGGTTGCCGAGTGCAAGAAGATCTTCTCCGAAGCGAAAAGTGAGCTCAGCCTAACGGGACGGAAGACCATCATCTTCTGTGACGAGATTCATCGATTCTCCAAGTCCCAACAAGATGTTTTTCTGGGGCCCGTAGAAAGTGGGCAGGTTACGCTCATTGGTGCCACCACCGAGAACCCCTCCTTCAAGGTGCAGAGCGCTCTGCTGTCCCGGTGTCGGACATTCACTCTGTCCAAACTTACAGACGAGGATATCAGATCAATCCTTCATCGGGCACTACGCCTGGAAGGACCGAACTATTCGCCTTCGGAACTGGTCGACGAGGAATTGATTGATTACTTGGCCAAGTTCGCCGATGGGGACGCGCGGACGTCCCTCAATCTTCTTGAGCTCGCCATGGATCTGTCGAAACGGCCTGGAATAAACAAGGACGAGATCAAGCGGTCATTGACGAAGACACTTGTTTATGACCGGGCCGGGGACCAACACTACGATACCATTTCCGCCTTTCACAAGTCTATCCGGGGGAGCGATCCGGATGCGGCGCTATACTATCTTGCTCGCATGATCCAGTCCGGGGAAGACCCGCTCTATATCGCTCGACGTCTCATCGTGGTCGCATCCGAAGACATTGGGCTTGCTGACAACAGCATGCTCACGCTAGCCATCTCGACCCACTCGGCCGTGGAAAAGATCGGCCTACCGGAGGCACGGATCAATCTGGCACATGCGACGGTTGCCATGGCACTCTCAAAGAAGAGCACGCGGTCGTACCGCGCCCTGAACAATGCATTTGCTGCGCTAGCAGAGCCCGGTGTCGCTGGGCTACCGGTTCCGATCCATCTGCGCAATGCGCCGACTCGGTTGATGAAGGAGCTCGGATATGGCAAGGAATACAAGTATAATCCTAACTATGTCGATGGGGAGGTTGTCCAGGATTATCTTCCGGAGCAGATTTTGGGACGGAAGTTTTTGGAGGATCACGATTTAGGGCATCAGGTGGACCCAGATCTTATGAGGTAGACTATCATGTCGCTGTCAATGAGGCAGTATAAACCTGCCAGTGCCATTGACTCACCCTCTGTCATCACACACACAAGGCCACGTATAACCAGCCTGTGCCCCATGGCATGAATATGCTTACACAAGACCACCTCGATCGCCTCGAGCGTTGGCAGTATGTCAATGCCAGATCTGGGACGTAAGTCCATCTGCACGGTCAGACGGAGACCATCAATATCCATGCAGGGGTTTCCAGAAATAGCATTCCCCTGTTCAGGCACAGGGAAGTGCACATTGGGCGATTGGATAGGAGTATGAGCAACCATGGAGGCCAGCAGACACCCGGGGTACATCTAAGGAACAGCCTCACACATAATTTCCTACCAAGAACAATAGACCGTGGTAGAAACAAGGATTTTATATGACAGACCATAATTTTCTTCAATTTAGACTTTCAGTCTACCAAGAAATAAATACAAAGTAGGATGTTCAAACCAAACGTGTTCCAGGTTAGCCTCCGCCGCCAATCAAACCGCCGCCTCGCGTCTCCATCGCGTCTCCACCTCCATCTTTCTCTCCTCTTCCTCCTCCAGCTCTTCATCTCATCGTCTCCAGCTTGTTTACCCACTGCACCACCACCCCCTTACAACCTGTCATTTTACCCATCGCAAATTCAATCCCACTCTTCCAACTCCTTGCACCAACAACGCCCCTCCATTGACTCTCACCCTCCACCCCCCACCGACCGACCGCGGTCGGGGTGCTCTCTCACCGACCTAAACCACACCACCACCCACCAAACACAATGGCTTCCTCACAACCCTTCGGCACGCGCTCCTACGCCTCTGGAAAACTCCCCGACCGATCCATCAACGCCAACGCCCTCCCTTTCAGCGCCTCCTCCTTCTCGCGACACCGCAGTCTCGCCGGCGCGCCCGGCGCTCCCACGGCCGGCGACTTCGCCGACCCCAAAGCTAGCCAACAGGCACCAGGTCCATCGCAAGCACCACCGCAACCACCCATGCATTCACAACCCCAACAAGACACGAATCCCTTGAACCGGTTGACAGAGGAGCAACGCGAAGAGATCAACGAAGCTGTAATAACCCACTTTTCCAAGTCACTCCCCGTCAACAAGAAACACATACATACATACACTGCATCCTACAAGGAACAAACACATGATTAACAAGATAATAACAAACAGTTCACCCTCTTCGACCTCGACCGCGACCGCCACCTCGACTACCACGAACTCCGCGTCGCCTTCCGCGCCCTAGGCTTCACCCTCCCCAAACAAGAGCTCATCTCCCTCCTAACCACCTACGGCGTTCCGCGTCCCCAAGTCCAACAACAACAGCAACAGAACCCTGGCAACCCTCCCCCACCCCAGCAACAACAGAACCGCGCGGCAGCAACTACGAACCCCCAACACCCGAGTAATCTGCTCATGCCACTATCGGCCTTTCAGGCCGTCACGGCGCTGAAGATACTGGAGCGGGATCCGCGGGACGAGATCCTGCGCGCGTTCGAACTGTTCGATGAAGGCGGGAAGGGATACATTGATCTGGAGGACTTGAGGCGCGTGGCCAGGGAATTGGGTGAGACGGGCCTCGAAGAGGAGGAGTTGAGGGCTATGATTGAGGAGTTTGATTTGGAGGGTGTCGGGGGTGTTACGCGCGAGGCGTTTGTGGGGATTTGCTGGCAGTGATTTTTCTTCTTTTTTTTTTATACCTCTCTTTCTTTAGTCTTTTTTTTTCTTTTTTTTTTTTTTTTTTTTTTTTTTTTTTTTTTTTTTTTTTTTTTTTTTTTCTATTATTGGATATGTATGTGGATTGGGTGGAATTTCCCGGTTTCGTGGGTAGATGGGAGATGGATGGTTTATTCTTGTTTACCTCACTGACTTGTCTTTGGTGTGTGTCTGTTTTCTTGTTGACGTCTAATCATTTACCACTCGTACTCTGCATGGACTGGCGCCAATTGATTTGGAATTTTGACTATACAATGAAAATAGGATTATCAATATCGATTCCCTTCCTGACGACTACCATGCTATGGTCAATGTTGCTTACTATACCTACAAGACGGAAGTTATTTAAATCGAAGAGTTCATTATACTACACGGCAAGAATACATACATCATACCCCCGACCATACATACCACGGTCCGTCTAGTATGGGCAAGAAAGGGAGAGAAGGTAAACGAACAAAGAACGAAACAAACTATCAATTGAGCAAGACGTGAACCGACCCCGGCCACTGTATCCATTAATTGTAGGTTTAAACACCCAGACCCCATATAGAAAAGAACAACAATCCAGCACCAAACCAAAACTCTAAAACACGCCTCCACTCCAAGACAAAGAATGTTAAGGTCAATTACTTCAATCAATCAATCGTCACAAAATGCAATGCGAGTGGCTGCAAGAATCATAATGCATACTAAATCGCACGGAAAGTCTCGTCAATCAACCGTACCGCCCCTGGGGAGACATATATTGCGGTACTGGCTGGCCAGCTACACCTGGATATGGTGGCGGCGGCTCGTTCCCTAATCCTTGATAGCCTCGCGCCGGCCACTCGTTCATGGGCGGCGGCGGGGGAGGTCTAGCGCCGGGCCAGGGTCCGTAGGGCATTGGACGCGGGACGGGTTTGGGGGCGCGGGCTTGACGACAGCGGTTCACGATGCAGGTCATCAGGGCTAGAAGGATGAGGGCGCCTACGGCGCAGGCGACACCGATTACGATGCCCTTGTGGTTCTTGATCCAGGATTCGACGTTCTGGCCCTTGCAGTCCCCGTTGCTGCAGTAGCCGCCATTGCCGCAGGGAGTGCCGTCGAGGAAGTTCTGGTTGACGCTGTAGCACGTGCCAATCTTCGGGGAGGTGCAGACCAGTTCGCAGGAGGAACTGAAGGAGGAACATGCGTAGGTGTCGTTGCTGTGGAGGAGACTGCCCATTACACTGCGGCACTGGTAGTCCCGGCTGGTGCATTGGCCACTGGCGCAGGCGAGTCCCGAGCCACTGCTGCCGCAGCTGGTGCCGTCTTTCTTGAACGAGTCGGTGGGACAAGTGCTGGAGTTGCCGCTGCAGGTCTCTGCCACGTCGCAGTCGCCGCGACTGGCGCGACATACTGTCCCGGCCGAGGAGAACTGGCAGCTCGAACAGCAGCTATCGTTGGAGTCATCACACACAGCTCCCGACTTGAACTTGCATGTCTTCGCGTCGCAGCAGTTGTTGTCGCCGCAACCATCTTCTCCGCCACAGTCGCAATCTTCGCCGGACTCGACAATTCCGTTGCCGCACTGGCTGCCAGTGTAGGTGGTGACGTCGCGGTTGGCGGAGAGACAACTGGACTTGACGCTGTTGCGGCCCAGGGCTGCGCAAATATTTCCGATAGTGCATTGCGAGAACGAGGTGATGTCTGTTCCAGTTGTGGGGTTCATAATGTATTTTGCGTTGGCATCGCAGGTGCTTGAGGTCAACGGACAGCATTGAGACGAGGCTTCAAGATCCTGTGCACAGGTCTGGGAGTCGCAGTCGTGGACGGCGCCGAAGGTGTGGCCAGATTCATGAGCAAAGATTTGCCAATCCGAGCCGGAAGACCGAACGACAACGTTAGTTCCACTGACCGTACTGGAGCCATCCGAAGAAGCATCGCTGTTACAGAGTTGGCCCAGCCAGGACAGTCCGACCTCGTTGCCCGTCGCGCAATCGCTCATTAAGGTCCAATAAGCATTGTCGTCCGATTGCTCGCCGCGCCACTTGGAGAACAGATCCAGACGAGAGGTGAGATTTCCGCTGGAGCAGGGCATGTTCCATGCTGTGGCCGCGGGCGGATTGTCGGGGCATGAGCTGTCGGTAATGGTCAAATTCCGCAGCCCAATCGTAATGTTGAAGGACTTTTCGTAAACATTGGACGCGCTGTTCACAGTACTGATGACCCATTCCTTGGCGGCCGTCTCGTTGTTAAAGGAGCCGGTAAAGGAGCAGTCCGTTGCAACACCAATCAGAGCCACCTGTTTCGTGCTCGGACAGCCCGAAGTATCGCCAATGGTCGATGCCAGATTGACACCACCAGCATTACCGGACACACTTCCGATATCAGACTGGCGCTTGTTGAGTCCAAACAAAGAGTTCAACGACATCGCTCCCCACGCATCCGTTTCCGCCTGGACGTACGGTTGTAGCACAGGGTGGTTGGGGTTGGTGTTGAAGCCGAGCTGATCGGCTTGACACGAAGTTGATCCGAGCGACGACCGCTTCAATTCCGTATGTAGACGCACCATATCCGAATCCCGGTAGAAGATCATATAATCCTTCGCTGAGTCAGGAAGGTCGACATCCACGGGGCGTTTCTTCTCCATGTATGCCGATTTCAGCTGAACATGATGGTTGTCGCCGTCGACACTGAAGACTCCCTCAAACAGTGGCTCCGAACCATCCTGCTTCAAGTAGATCCGCGCCCATCCAACCGGATCCCACATGCCTTTTCCTCGCCCGAGTAGACTCCTCCCCTTGAAGACCTTGTGCTCATGTCGGGCAATGGGCTCGTGACGTCGCACGTTCCCGTCGGCGTCGAGGTACTGTACGATTGCGTCTTCTGCCAGGATGTCGTGGTTGGGTTCCAGCTCCAGCTTGATCCGCTGGTGCGTGTCATGGATATCGAAGGTGATGTCAAAGTGGTCAAGGTGATTGACCCGCTGCGAGGGCGTCTTGATGGTGGGCTGGTCAAGCGTCGACACATGACGGATGGCACTTGGAGCTTGTGATCGAGCTGCATTCGGTCAAGTTAGAACAGATCCATGCGCCAGATATCGCCGAGCTCACCTTGTACATTGGCCCCAAAGAGTGATATAGCACCTGCAATGAAGGGCAGGGAATAGGTAAGAAACCGCATGGCTGTCAGCGAGTGAAGACAGCCGATGGGAGATGTTGAAGGTATGCGCTGAACGAGTGTGCTGGCATCAAAACAACAGCGAGAGATCCGGGAAGTCAGGGTTAACAGACCCCTTCGATCCACAGCATCAGGCAGCGACGAAACGTGGAAACGAATGAGTTCCCTTTCACAGCTAATTGGATGGACCCGGTCGAGATCTTGGCTCGGGATCCGGTCATGTATGACGGATCACGCCGGAGATTAAGCTGCACTGAAGGAGGGTTTATTCTTCCCCGGATCGTCGCAGTCTCTCACACCTTCAGAGGAAGTATACTGGAGGTGTGGAGAGGAGAGAGAGAGAGAGAGAGAGAGAGAGAGCGCGCGCGCAACAACCGGAGTGAGCAGTGAGACTCACTTGACGGGGGAGTGAAAGGGATTCTTCCAGTTGGCGAACCAAGGAGGTTTTGGCTTGGCTGGAGGCGCAGCCGCCTTGGCGAGCGGGCGGAAATCTGGAATGAATGGCGAGAATCTCCCTCCAAGCAGTAAACAAATACACGTTGGTCCAGAGGGCAAACAGGAGCGAGTCTAATTCAACGAAAGTGAATTGAATTGAGAAAATGGAAGATGATGGATGGGAAAATAAGGTGGAGGGGGTGGAAAAAGCGGAGGATAGTAGCGAGGGACTTGAGGAGAGGGATTGACAGGGTCCGGTTCAGGGATTGCAATTGGACCCCGAATCAACAACAACAAACCATTTGATGGTCGATTCATCGCTTCTCCGCTTTTGGTTGTCGCGGACACCCGCCAAGCCTCCCGGCGCTTACGGATCATCGCTCATTATATTGTTGTCTTAATAACCACTCATTCCTGTGGTCAATACTCTTCAACCATAGTGTCACCATTCCCCCGCAGTTTGGCGCCCAGTAACCCCAACTCAAGATCAGTCGGGAACCAAATGAAATGCTTCGTGCGCCTCTCGGGCGAAATGCGGAATCATGGCGCCGCAGACGCCACATGCTACACAAGCCATGCCATCTTCTCCATCGCTCTCTTCCCATGCAGCTTCCTCCACTTCGTTCTCGGTCACGGCTGCACTGTCTCCACGATGAAGGGGTTCCTGAAGGTGATGCATCGTGCCGCTGTTACGCGTAGAGACAGGCACTGGCTCAGAAATGGCCAAGGCATCGTTGCGCCGCGACCCTTGGCTCTGAAACATCTTACCAATATCGCGTCCACTGCTTTGCTTCCGTTCTCCAGCTGCCTCTACCAGATTTGTCACAGCGACATTCATTAACCGCAGGTTCCACCCAGATCTCTCCGGGTGAAGCTTGCGGAACATGGACAGTAGCTGATCTCGTACCAACCGTTCAGCCAGCGCGTCTACACTCTCATCAAGATGAAAGACATAGCCGGGCAGCGGCGCTGACCGAGAAATTCTCCCCCCATGGTAAGCTTGCGCATTGTCGGTGGCAGATCGGGGCCGGGTGGACAGCCGCAGGGTCCGTGGATGCGCGAGCCATCGGACTTTAGACACTGCAACTTGGTTTGCTGCTGTACCGTCAGTCTCCCTGTCCTTCTCTGTCAGATCCGTCCGCATCCGACGAAGTAAGCTCCCTGTGAGCGAGACTAGCTCTTTACGGACGCTGTCGAGACTGTCCAGGCGACCGTAGGAATCTTCAATACTTATCTGCGTGGGCAAATCTCCTGCCTGGATGACCTCGGTATTGTCTACGCCATGCAGCAGTCCCCAGACCCGCACCCCGATATCTCGGGGTGCCCCTGGACCACCTAAGATCTGACTGAGGTGGGACGGGCCCATGCCAGGCAACAACCGGATGTCTCTCACAGTCACCTTGTCAGAGTCAGCGGTGTCGTCGGCGGTTACCGCTGGGACTGAGTGAGCGCCTTCATCAGCAAGATAGTGACAGAGTTTCCGCGTCAGTTTGGAGCCGATCCCAGGGATCTTCCTGATTTCGTGCGCATCGAGAAAATTCAGCACATTACTGGACGCAGCAAGCGTCGGTGTAGTATACGGGGGAAGCAGCGTAGTCTGGTTGTTCGGTTTATGAGTGCTGCCTGCGAGCTTGGCGAGAAGCTTGGACGTAGAGATCCCCACTGTGGCAGTGTACCCTTTCTGCTGCTCCAGTTGACCGCGAAGGTAGCCTGCGAGGTGCGAGGCCACCAGCAGTCGAGTGTAAAGCCAGGCTGATGCGTCTTCGTCAGCTGTCGCAGTCGTCGAGGGCGCAGCGGCAGCGATCGTATTCGGATCAGCTGGGTAAGTGGAGCCACATAATCGGGTGGCATCATAAGTGAAACCCACGGTGGGTTCGTGCCGGTCCAGATGAAAGAATGAATGTTCCAGATCATAGCGATTTAACAAATCGACATTGTAGTTGATCATCTCGGTGACATCCAAGAACAACTGCAGGCGGGTATTAGATGGGATCGCGAAGAAGTTCACTGCAGCCCAGGAACCCGTGGAGAACCACCTCAACGGGCAGTCCTGACAATGAAATCAAGTTTGTAGTCGAAACTAGCAATACATACCTCATCAAACCCGAGTCTTTCGACCTTCTCCCCCCAGACGAAGGACCTAATGTAGAGGAATAAATCCTTGGATGCATCACGAAATCTAGACAGATCTTCACCTAAGACAATGACGACGTCCGGGCAGATCTGTTTGGCCTCTTTGATCAACTGGAGCTTGCGCAACCCGCGCCGGCGGGCCTCATAATTACAGGTGACTACAATCTGTTTCTGCTGGACGGCCAACGGCAAGGATTTCAGCACCGGCTGCTCCACCTCGAAGACCGAGGCGTAGAAACAATCATAATCCTGTGGGGATTGCAGAGAGGCAGTTAGCTAACGGCCGAATGGAGTCACGTTTCCCGCAGGATGTTGAAAACGTTATTTTTATTTGAGTGCAGTATGGATCACTATATGGGTAGCGTGACTGACAAAGTGGAGGATGATTCGGCGGTCGTCTCTGGATGGTAACACAGCCATGAACTATGTAGCATCGACTGAGAGAGGGCCAGTGGGGATCGAATTTCCAGGCAGACCTCAACGGGAACTTGTATTCCGTCTGCGACCTTGTACTGAGTCCCTACTGTATCCGTAGTAGGGAGGCGAAAAGGATGTTGCGAAAACCTCCGGTGGATAATATTACCGGAATGCAGAGGGCTGGAAATGGGAGCTCAAAAAGGGAAATTGTCCGTCCGCACCTGTCATCAAGTAGCGAGAAGAGATTCGATAGTCAACCGAGATGAATCCATAGATAGGATAGATAGTGCGATGCAACATTCTGTTTAGTGCGAATTGAGTCATCCAGCTGATTGGGCAACAAACCTGCGGCTGGGATGTGGCTGGTGCAGTGGTCACGCTTCAGTCGCTAGGTGGCTGGGGTAAAGCCCATTCAGACTTTCTGGTTGGTTGGACCCTGGCTGACTCAGTAGGTGCGTGACCATGACGCTAACCCAAAGGGGTGTCATTTCCCCACAGTCACTTCGTGCAGGGACTATCCCATTTTTAGAACACCGCGTCAGCTGCAGTTTTGATTGGTCCGTGTCAGATGCAACTGCCTTACGTAAGGGCCGCACTGTGACGCGCACCTTTTCCCTTTTTCTTGCTCCAGTTCAATTGCTATAAATAACGTCTCGCAACTCGTGCCCGGGAACGACAACCAGCAATACTCAACGTGGAAATGAATCAAAACATACACTCATGGTGGATGTGAGTCAACACTAGGCAGATTTCTACCAGAGACATGGCGGAGATCAGACTGCTGGAGGAATGGATCGGCCGCGTGTCTCGCCCGGGCGTCGATGGCCAGAAGATGGCAGATGGAATGGAGCCGTTGGAAAGATCGGCCATTCTCGATCATCGGAAAACTGGGGCCCGTCGGCGGCGGCGTCAATAGTTGGGTTATAATTAGATGGGGAGCGACTAGCCGGTCGGTGGTCCAGCAGATGAGCACTAAGACTGTGAAGACATGCCTGAATGGAGATGCTGAGGGTACGATGGAGTCCAGCGACTCCATCCACCAGCCCGGCTTGGATGGTTGGATGGTTGGATGATAGGATGGCGAAGACTCGTAAATTTAGCACTTTTGATTAACAGTAATTTCTTAATTTCTTAATTTCTTGATCTCTTTAATTTCCCTCCCCCGCGGCTAAAAGACATTTTCAGTTTCAGTTTCATTTTAACCCAGTTTCCTCTTGGACTGACTTTAATCAATCTTCTTCTGCCTATCCTCTGGCTTATCCTCTGGTTCCAACAGTCATTTCTTCAACATTCCAGCAAACCATGAGTCGCAGATCATTCTAAAATAAGGCGACCCTCGTACAAGCGCCCACGTCTCTTGTCTGCTTGGTTCCAGTGCTTGGGATCCCACCTGGTCTTATTTCAGAACCTTATCGTCCCTGGATTTGACGCGCTTGGAGCCGGTTGTTGCACTTCTGCATCTTGAATCACACTCCGGTGCTGTTGGCAAGGCGCTACTGCTTCTGCTTCGTCTTTCCTGCTTCTTGGTGCGGGGCCTTACTGTTGCACCTTCCAAGACCTCCTCGCTTTCTGATCTCATTTCGTTTATCCTCCTCCTTCCTCTCTTCCTCTCTCTTCCTTTTCCTCTTTCTCTTCTTCTTCTACTGCTCCCTCCGCCGTCGTGTTTGGGGGCCTTCGCCATGCTCGCAACCCCCATGACCCCGCAAGCATCCCACCCTTCGTCTTCTTCCTCCAACATGGTCTGCAGTCTGGCTTCGACTGCGACCACCACAACCTCTTCCTCTTCATCCTCCTCATCCGCCAGTGCCCCACAACAAACTACGATATCATCCCGACCGAAGCTCACTCTCCAAACCTCCTCTCTTCCCCGAACCTTTGGTACATCCTCAACGGGACTGTCCCTCTCTCTCGCAACCGGAACGGCATCTCCTACCGTCCGTAATACCTTCAAAAATGCCTACGAGGTCACCGGCCCTGCGTCTGCCACCGCCTCTCCGTCATCCAAATACCCATCCAACCAACGCTTCAGCAAACCGTCCTCTCCATTTACCACACACAACCCATACCAACTCCCCCTGGGGGTGAAGAGTATTCTACGAAACTCGCCGCTCGAGCCGACCTGCCGCCGACGGGCTGGATCGGTGGCCACTACCGGGCCGAATGGTGGACCGAGCGCGCGCCGCGTCTTCTTTCCCGCGAAGAAGCAAGTCAGCTATCGCAATCCCTTGGAAGAGGAAATTCAGACCGTGCACTACACGGCGCGCCACTCTGATCTACACGATGAACCCGAGCCTGCACTCCAACCTCAACCTCAGCAATCAGAGGTGACCTCATCAGATGAGGACTCGGATTCAAACGCCAGCGGGTGTCCCTCGGATTCCAGCACTTCCGAAGATGAGCCCGAGGCCGGCTTAGGGAAGAAGACATCGTCTCCCATTAAGCGGAAGAAGCGCAAACATTCCAATGCCGAGAGGCAAGTCCGGGCAGTGGCCTTGATGGACGGAATTGCGGGACCCAGCAACCCAGGCAGCCTGACACCACAAACGCCGCGCAGGAAGCGAGCTAAACGTCGCTGTGAATGGCGATGGACCCTGGGACCGTTAGAGAATCGTGACAAACTGCTTCATCCCGTCCAGGATGAGACGGGTTCAACATCATCCGTGTCCCAGCCTGAAACGATGCCGCACGAGTCCGAAACGGAGACCCCGTCCTCCGACCCTCCGCTGTCCAGCGCCAGTACCACACTCTATCACTCCAGCCCCAGTTCATCTGTCTCGTCGGATGTGGAAACGGAAAATGACGAGTGGCAGACGCACACCACCCACGAACTTGAATGCGCACATGCCGATCAATGACGATAACCCATGCTTGGTTACGAACCCCCTTGCATTGATGATCACGAATTATGCATATAGACGGCAGATGAACCACAGCATACCCCATCCTACTTTCAGACATATTGCTAGATAGCTATTATCGATTTGGGATTTTCTTTTCTTTTCCTTTTTCTTTTTCTGGTCGGGAAGCTCTACCTTGAATGTCTGGACGTTCATGCCGTTTACATTCACCGACCAGTCAACTTTTTACACTTCTGCCTACTTTCTCTATAAATATTTTCATATCTTCTTCCAATAATATACATTTATATGCATGTGAATGCAATCTGACCAGATGATTACATGGCTACATTCCACCTTCACCCGTGTAATGCTGTGCTACGTGCCTGCCGTATGTTCATGCAGCTCCATGCTTCATACAAATCATAAATACGACGGTCGATCTCTGACGCATTCCCCATCCTAGTATGCTTAATATAGCAACAATAATAACATGCGGAGACCCCATGATATTAACTTTCGTGGATCGTCTCTGCGTCATAATATCCAACTAATCTAACTAGTAATAGCTGCATCGACTTGCAGATCATCCTTTAGATAGATCTTATAGTGCCAGCCAGCCAACCCTCAGACTTTCAAGAGAAAGAAGAAAGAAGATAAAAGAAAAGAAAAGATTAACGAGAAATAGCTCATAGACTATTGCCAACTCGGTCAGAGCTGCAGACTGTATGTCGAGCCAGGACAGAAATGTAATAACCATGATCTCGAAGGTGTCGCCTTCTCTTCTCTCGCATAATATGATAATGAATTCTATAATGTTGACAGGAAATCCAAGATTAACGTAAGACTACGGGTGACAGATATCCAAAGGCAAATTACAGAATAGAAATGGTAACAATCCGCGAACAAGAAAAACCACGTGTAGCACCTGACCTGCTAAGCAGCAGCAACGGGCCGCTCCATCATCTTCTCCTACATACTTTCTCCAGAAGTTTGAACCTCCATTTCCGATTGTTCAAGAAGGCGATCTCTAGTATCCTTCAGAAAGCATACGCTTCAGGTAGGTCCAACCTGCATAGGATCAATCGAAAGGCGAACGGATGCTGTCATGGCTAGCGTTGATGCGGATCTGCGCAGTACGACAGGGACTGTTTCCTTCGAGCCATTAGCAGAATGCTGCGCATTTCGAGATCTACCTCGATGTCCCGCCAATCGCCCCCCGGTGTAACAAAAGCGCGCCATTTTTTGTCGCCCTCGATCATATCTCGCATGAGAGTGTCCACGCAGTCGCCATACCCGCCTTCTTTTACCGATAAAGCTTCAGATTGTGCCTTGCGCCATTCATGGATCATACTCAATGTCCGTATCAGGGTCTCCAGACTACCAAGTGTCTATGATGCACGCATTCTTACAGCTCCTGGCGTCTCCAACACGCCAGGCGCATCATCATCGGCAGGAACACTCACCAACCTTGTAAGGTCGGTCCAGTTAGCAAAGTCCCGGCATTCAACAGGATACATCCATTCATTGTTGAACACTGATATTCCTGGTTGAGGCCAGTACGGTACCAGATCCTCAAAAAAGAACTTTTGCAGGGCCCTATTAACCTGCGGACGTCCCATTACGACGTAATGGCCCCAGTTCCAGAAAACAACAGTACCCCCAGGCCGGACTATTCGTGTCATCTCTTTCCAGAGCGGCTCAGGGTCGAACCAATGTGCTGCTTGACAGGCGATCACCAGATCAACCGTCTTCGATGCAATGAAGGGGAGAGACTCTGCATTGGACTGGTGATGTTGGATATTACTGACGTCCGATTTCTGAGCTCCTGCAGCTTGCTTCAGCATGCCCTTGGAGGAATCAACGCCGATAACAGATTTGAAAAGGGTGGCCAGCGCGCGAGCCACAGCCCCATGGCCAGTACCCAGGTCGACACATAGTTCGCGGGGAGACTGGTGGTAGGCTAAAACAGTGTCGTGCAGAGCCTGAGGAGGGGAAGGGCGATGTGCAGCATATGCCGAACAGTCATAACCTTCATCCCTTGCGGAGCAGAAAAACGCTCACCGGTATGTCGGAAATTATAGACATCCGGGGAAAAACTCACGAGAAACTGGCCATTGGTTGAACGTGATGTAACCTGTCGCAGATCATACTATCAGACTTGAGTCCTCCCTTTTGGTCTTGTCACCGAAGACTGGAAGTGATTTATATACTAACTCATGGCGTGGATATCACTTCGCCATACCTTCCTACGGCTCTTATGCTTAGAGTATGCAGCAATGTGCGCAAGCCTCATGAGATAACATGACTGTTCCACATACCCAGTTGCCATGACAATTCCACTTTTCTTTCAACGTTGATCAGAAGTTAAGTTTTATTATATATACTGTATGTATTGTCTTGGTTTCTCTATACTAACTGAAAGATAAGACCAATAGCATAGTATAATAGAATAAACTTGGCTAACCAATTTAACTTGTGATAACCACAGAATCCGTGGATTAGAATTAGAAAGCACTGCTGCAGTATCCAGCACTAACAAGGCTAGGGATATAGTAAAGGTCAAACTGGGACGGTCCATACCGTTCTATTCCCTGATGATACCGTCAATTATTAGTATCGAAACGTCATACTGGCATGGACTATGCCTTCAGAGACAAGGACAATCTCAAATGAACGTGTAGTCTTATGGGAGAAAGACTCAATAAAATCTCAAGGCAGATAATGGAATCGATGAAAGTAAGATTCGGCTCAATACGCTACCACAAATGTGGCCTTCGAGGGAGTAGTGAATAAGGATGATTCTTCTTGAAAACAAGGTTTTGGCAAAATATAGAAAACTACATACTACCTAACACTAGATAGTGCCCATTTCAACGTATCAAGTTCTTTCGAACCTGTACTATGAATTTAGTCTCCAGTTGTTTAAGCCTATGGCAACATGTGGCGACCTAACCTTGCGACTACCACATACTTCACTGCAAAAGATGAAATCTTAGTTCCAGACGATGTCCCTTTGGACATGACAGATACCCGTCACTTGGTTCCATGTCCCCATGGTCATGAATTGTGGTTGTGAAGTTGGAATAGATGCTCGCGAACAAGAATTTAATGGCTAGAATGTGGGTTAGCTAGTGGCTTATATTATCAACTGCCGAGAAATGGAAGCATACTCACAGTAATAGGCAAAGTGAAGCCCAAGGCACATTCTTCCACCACTGCCAAACCCCCAGAACCATTTTCTCATGATAGCCAATTCTTCTGGTGACGCATTGAGCCATCGGTCTGGCTTCCATTCATGAGGATCAGGAAATACATCAGGCATGCGATGCAGAACAGAAGCGTATGACTGCACAATTGTTCCTGTGGGGATGTTGTGGTAGCCCCCTAGGGTACAAGGCCATGGCACGACACGTGGTTGACCTCCAGGCACGGAGGGCCAGAGTCGAAGGGTTTCCATCAGGACAGCGTGAAGGATTGGCAATTTGTCGATATCCTGAGGATTGGTCATATCGTCGATTTCCACTACCTTTCCAGGAATATATTTCAACGACGGGGACAGACTGCGCAACTCTTCTTGAAGTTTTTTCTGCCACTCCGGGTGTCGACTGAGCTCGTACAACAGGTAGGTGCTGGTGTTGCCGCTGGTCTCAAACGCGCCGGAGTTTAAGGAAAACATTTCACTTGCCAGTGGGAGACGACGAGGGTATGCTTTTGGCTTGGAGGTGACCTCGCTCATCCCCTTGAGCGCCTGTTCAAACACCACCGGGTGATCATCTAGTGATAACTGTTCCCTGCTGGCTAGGAGTTGCTGGGCTTGGTCACACTTTTCTAGGTTCCAGTTTTCGACGCCCTCAAATGCGTTTATCACGGATTTGGGGATGAGGTGAATCCCAATTTTCTGGAGCATGTTGATCAGACCGGGAAACTCATATTGCCAAAAGGTGTATTTGGATATTCCCAGAAACCCGTCAAGGTAGAATCTCCGTTCCTTTTCGTCCTCAACCAGATTGCTGCGCAGCGATTGCCCGAATTGCCACTGCACAAAGGTGTCAAGTAGATACGAGTAGTTGAGCTCTAGTACCTCAACTGGTTTGTTGAGGTTAGCAGCATTGTATAAAAGCGGAAGAAGACGCCTGAACAAGACGTCTCGTGATGCGGCGCGTACACTCTGCGATGACATGATAGAGGACTTTGAGAAGCAGTTCGCCAATGCTTTCTTCTGTGCGGCATGTGCTGCATTGTCTTTGATTGTGAATAGATTGCCAGTTCTATTGGCAGAAGTTAGCCCGTCCTCCTTTGTCGACGTGTACATTATGTGCATACCCGTATACGGCGAACCCATTGAAGTAAAAATCAGGCTTTGGGAACCCTCCGTGGTAGATCCGTTTCAATCCGTCTTCGAAGCAGTTCACACTGACCAGACTCGGGCCAAGTCGTACCACAGGGCCCTTTTCCATATGGTGTTTGTATACCTCGCGGTTTTCCTGTTTCGACCATTTCATCCATAGTATCCACAAAGGACTGAAGCTACAGGACCAATGGGCATTTGGAATCTTGGCCAAGGGAGAAAAGAAGGCCGGGTATAAAATGAACCTGAAGACGCCTGCAGTGGTAGCGAGCAGGGTGAGGATGGAGTATAGATGGAACTCCATGTTTACTGAACTGTCAATGGCGCCAGGGACTTGGTTTCTCGATTGTGTTTTAGCTCTTCAATTTTAGTAAGCATCGAAGACCTGGTCACTAGCTTTATAACTAGCCATTTATTCGCGCTTTCCTGGAGAGCCCAAGCAGACGTTATCGGAAAGCATGACAAAGGGCTCACTTGGTACAGCTACATTGCGTGTAGCAAACAATGCATCACGAGATAGGCAAGCCCGGGTGTAGCCTGAATCACATTATGACCGCCTTGGGTAAGTGGTGAGCTTATCGCAGTTTGCGCCTATGGCTACCCCTTCCAATTGAGACTCCGTATCAAGTTTAAGATGACTATATGTCCGCAGTTGAGGTGCTCTTTGCTCTGCGTAGATTTTGACCAAATACGGTCAATAAGGGCGCTAGCTGTGGACCGCCTCAGGCAGGGTCCATGTTAGTCTGGAGTCTCATGCCTGCCGCCCCCATGCCACGTAGGACGAAGTCAATACCATGATTGTGTAAAATACTTAACACATTTGATTGAGACAAAGTTGTTACAATACAGATAAGGGGAACTCATTCGATCGTGTATATCATCTTTTCCTTCCCTTGGAATGTTTTCAATCCCAATAAATTCTGTATATGGATTCACCTAGAGTAGATACGACTTTCGAATCTCATACAACTTATTCTATGTACGGCTCACCCAAGAGGAATTCGTGATACTACTTAGACAGTTCGATTTGTTATAGTGGTACTTGGATGTGAAGTAGAATATTGTACGCATGGCCCGGCTCAAGCATTGTTTCCTTTCTGGCTCATTGACGGAGTAATTCCTGAGGACATATCATCACTCTCCATTATAACCTCGAGGCCCTGTATTTCAGTTTTCTATTACTGTCAGCATACTGAAGGCACCGACAAAATATACGGAAAGTCTTACCGGACCGGAGAACGTCTTCCGTTTACCTCCCCACCATGATATAAGGATCAAAACTGTAATCCCACTGATCACCACACTGACATAGTTCATATCTGAAACTGTGGTCGGAAGAGACGTGGGAAAGCAAAATATAATTGTGATGAAAGGCACCCAGAAGGCAGAGAACGCATTACATACCGGGCCTAGGTATCGGCCCAAACTGAATGAGCGCTTGGGCAGAATGCGATCTCGCCCTCGGACCAACACAATCGCCTGTGGCACGGCGTAGGTCATATTGAGGGACAGGATGGACATGGATATGAAACTGTTGAATGCTGTCGTGGATCCGATATAGATCAAACCGTAGAGTAGAATAATTGCAGCGCACCCGATCGTGGCATTAACGGGTGCCTCTCGTTTGGTGTGGATCTGGGCAAAGAACTTTGAGTATGGGAGACCCTCGTCGCGAGCGAAAGCATACGCTAGTCGCCCGGTTGTTACTATGCAAGAGACTAACGCGCCGGAGTAGACGAAAAGAATCCATACGGTGAGCATTGTGGCTGCGGGTTGACTTCGTGTGGCTTGTAGATAAATTGTGTAAATCGGTATACTCGAAGAGGCCACGGCGTCAGTGTCTGTTGCGGAGAACAGGAACGCAAGCGTCCAAGGGATGACCGTCGTCACACCAATTAGCATGGTTAGTCCCATGGCGCGAGGAACATCCTGACTAGGGTTTGGGAGTTCCTGTGCGGTTTCACTCAGCAAACATCAAGCCCAAATTAAGGTGGGGTTTTCTTACCTCTGCAATATGACAGGCCCCGTCAATGGCCAGATATGCATACATACATGTCCCGAGCCCAATGAGAAACGATGTCCCATCACTCCAGCCACTGGTGTTTTTATAGTCGAGAAACACGACTGCCGCTGACTGTTTATGATTCTGCGTCGCTAGAACGGTGATGAAGCTGGCGACAAAGCCTAGGAAGCTGCTTATAAACATCACGATCTCTCCCTTGGGAAGTGCTCGTGGGAGTAGGCAGACAATGGCAGTCGCAATCAAGATTAGCAGAGCATATATGAGATACGTTTGCCAGGATTCTGCAGTGTAACTTGGGCGATATATGCTAGCCAAGTTTCCGATCATTTGAGCTGCCAGTCTTTCATCAGAATGTCGTTGTGTTTTGATGAACCTCTTTCGATCAATTAAGACTCACCACAGACAATGGCAGTGGATGCACTGGTGAGAGCCCATGCGACTACACTTAACCATCCCATCGTAAAGGCCACTACGGGACGATATTTTGGGGAGCTGACCATAAAGGCAAAATGATACTGCCCGCTGCTGGATGGATACGCCGAGGCGAGCTCCGCCAGACCCGCCGCTAGGCACAGATGACGCGTTAGGAAGTTTATGCATTCAGATGAGAACAGGATGTCTTACTGATGAAGCAACTCGCAACAGATGCAGCAATAAGACCAAAGAATACTGCCGGACTGCCTCCCATCAAGAGTGGGGTGACGAAAGTGGCCGAGTATCCAAGCCAGGAATTGGTCATGCTGAATCCCAATGCGATTGTAGAGAAAAGAGAGAACTGGACAGGCAGTTCCTCTCGCCTCAGATCCAGGGGAGCTTCCACATGGTCGCCAAGCCCATTACTGGAGTCAGGCTGGCCTTGTGACTTGGATATGCAGGTCGTGCGGTCTGTCATTGTAATATAGGGTCTGAACCTCAATCCTAAGAGGACCTCCGAAGGGAATGGAAAGATGAGGAAATAGTCATGTAGGATAGATTTCCCCAAAGCATGGCAGTATTATACCTTCTATACCCGCTATTACAAAACCGTGGATTCACGTAGCACTTGCAGCAGAACGTATATCAAAGTTCCCGTTACTACTGATAGGGGGATCTATTGTTATCGTCCGGAATGAATGCCACAAAACCTTGTTGAAAATTCTATGAACTGCGATAAGCTGATCATTCAGTCGCCTTGAACAGTCCTATGCATTCCCTTATCTCGAATCGCAACTCCTTGAAGGGCACCTTGGCTTTTTACTGGGACTCATGGTGATAAGCGGAGCTCATTTATATACCCGATTAGGTATGGTCAAAGGATCTGCTTTTGCCACCAGACTTTACTGTGTGCTTCTAGCATATGCGGTGGAAGGGACGTATGCAGAACAGCCATCCTAGTCGAGGGTATAGTTCAACGCAGGGTGTGAGAAAGAATGGGAAATGTGCCCTGTAGTGGAGTGGGACAGCCCAACGCATTATGGATATGATGCACATTTAATTCAGAATCCGTTTTATTTTTTATTCCCAGTGGATGATTGCTTACATACATACAACTTGAAGAAGTAGCCGGTTTCTCATGTCTCAATGTTTCACTTTTATCCCTTACTCGTCTTTTGCAATATGTATCCATAAACCGTTGAGTACATATCATGGAGCTTGAAAGAATGCATAACGCTACGCTACTCTTGTGCCTAGTTGAAGTGAAGAAAAGATCCTCAAACTGATAGTTATAAGTGCCCAGGATAATCAACTGCTCTTCCGCGAGATACAACTCTTGCTTCGACTGTTTTCAAAGCTTAGACTGGATATTGACATGAACAGCCTTAATGTTCGTATATTCATCGAGACCAGCCTGTCCCAGTTCACGACCAATACCGCTCTGCTTAACGCCGCCAAATGGGACACGCCAATCCCCAACATTACTGAAATTGATCCACACCGTACCAGCCTCAACTCTACCCGCAACTTTATGGGCACGCGTCAGATTTGTCGTGAAGATAGCACCTCCTAGTCCATAAGTACTGTCATTCGCCATCTTGATTGCCTCCTCATCGGTGGCGAAGCGAGCAATTACCGCAACGGGACCAAAGATCTCTTCTCTGTAGATGCGCATCTCGGGGGAGACGTCCGTGAAAACTGTGGGCTCAATGTAGAAGCCTTTCCCATTCCCAATATCCCTGACTGGTTTGCCACCGCATAGCAGGGTGGCTTTCTCTGCTTGTCCTATGCGAACATAGGACATGACGCGGTCATATTGAGCTCGGGTCACCTGAGGGCCTTGGAAGGTACTAGCGTCAAAAGGATCACCGACCTTGGAGACGCTCTTCACCTGGGCCTCAAACGCCCTCAGAAATTGGTCGTATATGTCGTTTTGGACCAAGATCCGAGATGTAGCCGTGCATACCTGTCCTTGGTTGGACATGATGCCCCAATGAGCCCATTTCACGGCCTCCGTTAGATCTGCGTCGTTGAACACGATCAGAGGGCTTTTACCTCCAGTCTCCATGGTGATATTCTTCAGATTCCCACTTGCCATTTTCATGATATGCCTCGCAGTGTCGGTGCTTCCAGTGAAAGCGATTTTATCGACGTCCATGTGAGACGCAAGCGCGGCACCCGCGATTGATCCGTATCCGTTGACAATGTTTACTACCCCGGGTGGAAACCCAGCTTCCACAATCAGGTTGGCCAGGAAAAGAGCAGAGAGAGGCGTCTGCTCGGCGGGCTTCAAGACGACGGTGTTGCCACACGCCAATGCAGGCCCTAGTTTCCACGCTGCCATAGCAAGGGGGTAGTTCCATCTGTAATGGTCCAAGGGAGTCAGCGACTGTATCGAAAGAGGCAGTATTCACTTAATCCGAGGGTCAAAAGAGAGCACTCACGGGATGATCTGGCCACAAACACCAACCGGCTCTCGCACGGTGTATGCAAATTTGTCTGCATTTGTTGGAATCACCTGGCCGAAGACTTTATCTGCGAAACCGGAATAGTATCGTATGGTCTCGGCTGTCTCGGTAAGATCTTCGTTCAAGGCGACCGTATACGGCTTCCCGTTATCAATGGTATCAATCGTAGCAAGTGTCTCCCGGTTATCCTCGATGAGCTTCGCCAGTCGACTCATCAGTTTCCCTCGATCCAATCCGGAGAGATCCCTCCAGGCAGGGTCTGTCAGGGCAGCCCTAGCGGCCTTGACAGCTTTGTCAACATCCTCTGAGGTAGCTCCATAGACAGAAATTATTTCTTCTGAGTTTCTGTTACTCCCAAGATGCGTTAGTCTCGTCCGGACAAGGTAATACGATGAAACCAGGGGTAGATTTTGAACCGTACGCAGGATTGATACTGGCGATCTTATGGCCGCTGGACGACTTGACCCATTCATTGTTGATGAAAAGACCCGTTGGCTGCATCCATGTGCAGCCGTTTGGAGCAGTAAGTTGAACAAAAAGGTCTGACATGGTATTCATGATATGTTGTTGTTCGTGATAGGAGAATGGTCTGAGGGTATAGGACCACCAACAGACTTTTTATCAAGCTGTAGCTCCAGAAGTTTACATACTAGTCAGAATTGCACGAATTTTCCGCGGACCGTAGATTCCTGATCCAAATCAAATAATACCAGTTGCCAGTTTTGCAGATAATCAGCTCACCGTTACAAATCCACTAATCTACGACAGTGACGTCTATCACCATTAGCTAGGCCCTTCAGTGATCGATCATATATTGCCCAAAGGAAGCAGGTACTGGCTGTCAGTCGGCTATGTTTCTGGATAAGAAATAGCCTCACTACTACTTGACCACCGCGATAACGATAACAACAACGAGAGTAACAATGCATTGTGTGCTGCGTGGGGGTAATTCTGCTTTTCGAGCCATCTCATCCTTTTACCTAAAGTAGTATATCGATATGACCATATGCATTTCTTGCCCCAATTCCCTCTAGTCCCAAACATGAGCTCTAGACCATAGCAATATACTTAAGCAACCCGGCCATTTCAGCCGGCTTAGACCAAAAAAAAAAAAAAAAAAAAACTAAAAAAAACTAAAAAAAAGCCCTTAACCTACATCTTTCATCTCTTAGCTTCCCCGGCAATCACATCCACAAAGCACACACCATGCCCACTGTCACTTCATACAACTACCCAGGCTATGAAGAACTCGGCAAAATCTTCAACATCTCAGCCGCCGTCTCAATCCCCTCTGACGCCCGCATCGTTGCCACATCCGGCCAAATCGCCGATAATCATGACCCCCTGTGGGGGACGCACGCGGAGCAATTTGAGAAAGCCATGATTAATATTCAGCGGTCCCTGGCCGCAGCGTCACCTCATATCACCGACACTAGACAGCTGTGGGAGGGTGTCTTCTACGTCACATCGTTTCACGTTGGCGTTTTGTCAAGGGAGGAACAATTACAGATTGCCGCGATTGCGACGCGATACTTTGGGAATAACAAACCTGCTTGGGCGGCTATCTGTGTGAATGCGCTGTTTCCACCAGAGGCATTGGTGGAAATTCAGGTTCAGGCGGCGTATCGGGATGGGAAATGAGTGGAACTGTGACCGTGGTCTGTGGTGGCATCGGTAAACATTGAGATATTTGTGTGCTTTCTGGCTCAAGAACATATTGGACCTGATCAATTCAATCGGGGGGTTTGTCACATGTATGCTTTCGCTTTAGTTATTCTCCTAGATGAAACGAGCGGCTAGCATGAGTATCCGTAAACTTGTCTCGGCAAATCGTGTTGCTAGCCTATATTTGGAGAAGATTTTTCTTGTTCTTATTTTTCTTTTATAACAGGAATTTTTTTTTCTTGTCTTCTGTCTTTGGGAGTTAAATCAATATTCCTGCTCTTAGTAACGCTTTTGTCGAATGTATATGCAAGAATTTGAGAAATGGGTTGTTCCTTGTCGGCACGCCCTTCTATGTATTGGTTTTGAGTCCTTCCCTGGTGATTGTTGGAGGGTTGGAATTTTACGTACGGAGTATGTGATATCGGGCATATGGAGAACGATTGTTTAATCAGGGATAACCTCCAGTTTCATCCACACTCCTGATTTGGTTAATAACTGATACGCTACCGGCTCCGAGGCCAAGCTTCAGACCAGACGGGCACATTGCCGATCCACCTTCCTACTACGGTAAAAGGATAAGCACACGGCAGAGAACCTCTTAGTGCATCTGTCAGTTATGGTTTTTGGAAAAATGAAAATTGTCATAGCGAAGTAGTGGCAGTCATGTTGAACTTATTTTAGAGAGCCGTATTATCTTACTCTCGAACTAAAGAGAACGCAATTAATCCAAACCTCCATTGCTCGACCACAACGCCAACAGAAGTTCAATACAATGCATTCGGGCAGCCAGGCCGATTTGAATAGCATCCATGGTCACGCATATGACTTTATCATCTGTGGGGGTGGTACGTCGGGTTGTGTCATTGCATCTCGTCTTGCCCGCATACCAAATATCTCCGTACTCCTCGTCGAGTCCGGACGGGACGCCGGTCTAAGTCCAGATGTTCTTATTCCAGGGAACTATGTTAAGCAGCTTCAGGAGGACAAAGCCGGGCTGTGGGAGTTGGAGACCGTTCCCCAACGGCACTTGAAAGATCGAAAATTGGTTTTCCTGCGTGGTAAACAACTAGGGGGCAGCTCGTTTGTGATCTCTTGCACTCTTCCATAATATCAGTACTCATTGTCTGGCACAGTGCGGTCAATTATATGGCTCTTGCCCGAGGTCCGGCTGCAGACTACGACGAATGGGCAAGGTTGACTGGAAATGATGGGTGGAAATGGGAAAGTGTTCTCCCCTTAATGAAAGAGGTACGACCCTGAATGTAATGGGCTGGGGTAGTGAGTTGGACTAAAGTAGTTGCAATAGCTCGAGGATTTTGACCCCCGACTCCCACCGGGGGTGGAAGACTTTGCGCGCCCGAAGCCTTCTGACCATGGAAGATCAGGGCAAGTGAAACCAGTAGGCAAAGGAAGGGATCTACTGACATCATGCTAGGCCCCTCAAAGTTGGCTTCGGCGAGGAAATGGTACCCGGTGTGGAGACATTTTTCAAAGCTTGTGTTGAAACCGGGATGCCTGTGTGCCTGGACAACAATTCCGGGAACCCCGTGGGAGTTGGACTGGCACAGTTCAATGTCCGCCGGGGTGAGAGGAGTTACGCAGCCAATGCATTTCTGGATCACTCTTCACGCACTCGGCTCCCGAATCTAACAATCATGACAGACACTGAATGTGACAAAATTTACTGTGCAGACGGGACCGCCACGGGAGTCGAGTTATATCACAAGCCAACTCAAGAAACGGGTGGGTGCATATCCGATTTCCTCGTGTTGTGATTGAAGCTGATTGTTTTTTCAAAGTATACATTAGATGTCGGAGAGAGGTAGTACTGTGCGCGGGAACCTTTGGGTCTCCCAAGATATTGATGCTCTCTGGAATTGGGCCACTTGATGTTCTAAACCGACATGGAATCTTACCAGTCTTGAATTCACCAGGTTCGTCCTATGATCAGCTAATTGACACGACCACATGGATGACCTGAATCGGACTAGGATGCGGTCGAAATATGCTCGACCACTCGATCATCACATGTGAATACAAGGTGGACGATAAAATCCCTGCGCATAATCAGATCTTTCTTGACCCGGACCTCCATAAGCAGGCGAAAGCCCAGTATGCAGACAGCCGCACTGGGCCGTTGGCCATGTACGGATCCAGTGGAACCGTGGCATTCCCAAGGATTCAGAGACTGTTTGAATCCAAGGAGTTTGCTGATCTGGACGGCCAAACTCAGAAGTTTTTACTGGACTCCACCAGGCCTTCTGCAGAAATCTGGCTTGGATCGGGCCCGAGCTTCTATCCCGCGAATGATCCAACAAAGAGTTACATTACCCATGAGATGCTCATACAGAACAATCTCTCCAAGGGCACCGTGACACTTCGATCACGCGATCCACGCGATCCACCCCTCGTGGATCCAAATTTCCTTTCTCACCCCTTTGACAAGCGTATCGCAATCGAAACGGTCCGTACTGCTTTAAAGGTGGCGAACACGGCGGCATATCGAGGAACAATTGAGAGGATCGTGCATGGTCCGCGCATCGACATCAATTCGACGAAACCAGACAGTATAAGGGACGAAGAGCTGCTGGATTTCATTCAAGATCATCTTGACCAGGGCTATCACAGTATGGGTACCTGCAAGATGGGAGCACGTGAGGATCCGACTGCCGTTGTCGATGATCGATTCCGCGTGTTTGGAATGCGGAACTTGCGCGTGGCGGATCTCAGTGTGTGTCCCATCCTTACCTGGTAAGTCCATTCGCCCATTTCCATATATCAGGTTGGCAGAAGTAGTTGGTAACATGTATGTAAACAGCAATCACACACAGATCAACGCCTACTTGATAGGTATTCGCTGTGCGCAAGAGATGGAAAAATATTATAAGGGGACCACAGAGCGGGCGGGAAGATTATGAAGGCGGATATAACCAAGTCGGTGGTGACCCTAGATCAGAAGCAGATTGACATTTTCAAACCCCTGCATCAAATCCAAATATTTAGAGGGGCGCTGGCCCGCCCACACACCTTCCAGGATGGTTAGCGCACTCTGCACGTTGCCAAATCCGCCCGATATCTGCATGCACTGTGCTCGTTCTCTGAGCCAGTTCTGCCGTTTGGAGTCCTTGGTTTCAAGGCCAGCATGGAAAAGTGGCCAAAGTAACTGGTCCGACCACCCCGAGGCCGGAGGTGTAGACCTAGCATGGTAGAAAACACTGGAAACCAGCCAATCAATCTCGTACTCGTCGACATCACAGGGAAATAAACGGATCAAATACAGCAAAATGGCATATCGGTACGCCTCGGTTAGGTGAAACCAGTGCGTTCCTCGATTGGAACGAGGCCAGCCTTGTAACAATTTCTGCTTTATCTCTTCCACCTGGCATAACACTTCCATTGACGGCCGTTCCGGATTAGTCTGGCTTTTATAGACGCTGACAATTTCGCACAGAACCTGAAATTGATCCAATGTGCATGGGAAAACATCAAAACTCCAATCCGGCCCACTTCCATCAAAAAATTCACCAATATCTTGGCGGGAGAAGACTGGCTGCCTTGAATGCGAAGCGGCGGCCATGATATCAAGCCTAGAAGCAACGAAAGATTAGATTGAATTGTCCATGAACACACTTACCGAACCATTCCTGTAAGTTCACAACTTACCAGACAAGATATTGTTCTACGAAGCAGCCAACGGTGCGGTCAGAGCCACGTAGTTCAATCAACTTCTTAGCCCCCCGAAAGTGCGAATCAAAGGTCGAGAAACCCCTGTGACAGATATCACAAAGACAGAGCATGAGGATCGTGGCTATCGTTGCAGGTTGTTTGGCCCGCACTGGGGAGTACAAATCCTCTTGTAGACGCTTCATGGCCTTGCCCTTGAATCTTAGGAATTCGTTCTGGAACTGAGTTGTCCCTAGCCGTACGTTGAAATGGCATGCTGCAAGAGCGGCACACGCATACATAAGAGATGGAACCTCAGTGGCAAGAGGAAATATATAATCACGGTATGGGTTTTTGGGATCATGGTTATCGACGCACAACTTGGGGACAACTTCGCAGAGGTCTACAGAGGGGGGGAAAGTCAGCTCCTTTTTTCCTGCTGTGATTGACTCGGTGGGACATTTTACGGTATTCTAAGATAAACTTCAGTTCGGTCGGGATAGCGATGATATCCAGGGCGGGAAAAAGAGGGGGTTGTGAAGTTGGGATTTGTCCTGATTCCAGACGAGCATCACAGGGCGCAATGACTTCCGGTGCTATCTCTGCTTCGTCACTTGGTAAGAAAGTATCATCCAGCACTTCAGGTTGAACAGTGAATGATGCTGAGTCAATTGGCGACCCTGTATCTGTATTCAAGTGTGATCTTTCAGCCGGTAGCCACTCAGAAGATCCGTTGCTAGGCGTCGCTTCGTCGTAAGGCTGGCGATCTTGAACATATCTTTCTTCTCCGGTAGGCGACCGGGTAGTGGATGCAGCTGGTGGAGCTTGTTGTTGAGACCGTCGCGGCCGTATTTGTCGCTTTTCACTTGAGGCTGCATTCATAGGGAAAGTCTTGCCAGCAAGTCTTCCTCTGCTTGCTAGACCCGACCATCGCAGCAAGTATCCTTCACAAACCAGGCCATTAGATTCGCAGGTGCCACATGCAGGCAAAACTCGGTCACAGCGTCGTCCTCGCCGACGACAGGTCTTGCAGGCTCTTCCGAAGAGCTGGGGGGTGGACATAGTGACGAGCAGGAGGTATGTGAGTGTATGGAAAAGTGGGAAAGGTGAAAGTAAAGGGCGGAGGACCAAAGGAAGAACGCGGGGAAGATGATGATGATAGGCCTCTCCTAGTTTATCTCAAGACCTCGGGTAGAACTTCCCGCTTAACCTCTTCCCCATACTAAACCACGATAAGCCAGTCGATAATTACTCACCTTGTTATCTCTTTTTCACATTTACTAACTAATGCACGATAAGCTACTTCATTATCGCCACCGCATTATCAAACACTTCTATTACGAAGGTCATTGTCTTTCTAAATCAATAGCTTATCTCTGGCCAAACCCACTCAACTTCGCGTGCCTAGTTTTCATGTTAAGTTATTCACAACCGCGTACCATATTACTAGCCGTGGCTATGTGCTTCAAAAGTCCAATGGCAAACTCCAGATTCATCACTCAAAACATAGTTCCACTGTCTCTTCGACTTGACACGGTCTCCCAAGGCGCACAACCGCTATTCTACCTCGAAGTTCCATCACAATGCTAAATAGGGTGGCGTCCATTCCCAGGGGACCCTTCTCGTATCGACAAATTGAATACGGAAACCCCTCGTGGTCGTCCAACATCCTCATGATATCCACTGTATTTGGCCCCCCACCCGTAGCAGGAGCATACTTCGTCGCCAATTGCTGGATGCGATGCTGTCGTGCAGGCGAGTCTGGGAGCCAAGTCCCATCTACCGCGCCATCATGCTCCAATAGTAAATGGTTTGCGTGGAAGATGCGATCTCCCTCGTTCATATGCATAAACCGCAGTGTTCTCGCTGTTGATTCAAGTCCAATAGCCTTTTCTTGATCAGCGATCAGAATATGCGCCGATGCAGCGATCCCAACTTCATCCAGCTGCCGAACAGCAGCATCAACTGATGTGCTCTCCAATACTTTTCGAAGGCCAAGGTGAACTGGCAGTCGTGAAAAGTCACAGCCAGGGACTTTGATAGCATTGAGACAGACACCGATACCAAATTCATTTAACCCTATCTTTCCAATAATGCCTGCTTCGGTGATCATCTTGATTCGAGGCCCATCGGCGCCTCTGATATCCAAGAGAAGAAGATTCTGCTTTTGTTCTTCCATCCACTGTCTCAACATGAGAAAATTGGTTTGGTCATTAGAATCAAAGCAATACTTACATCCCAGTTCTGAGCCAGAAAGGATTGCGTGTCAGTCTTCCAGTACAGGCTCGTGCACCCATCATTGAACATCCCAAACGCGATTTCAGTGCGGATATTGAGAATCAAAATGTCAATAACTGGGATTTCAGCGCCGTCCGCAATTCCTTGTAATCCCTTCTTAGTCAGCGACATCCTAGGGAAGAATTAGGGCCAGATTAATCAACACACCCTGCATTTCACTGTAATATTCTGGACATCTCTGTTCTATCTCCCTCTGCCAGTCTTTGGCAATCATGCGGACAGCATCCCATTCGAGTTTGCAATTATAAGCAAACATCTTCTTGTAGAATAAAATACTACGCTTGATCATTTCTTTCGCACCAACTCCATGTGCCAATCCGAGCTATTGCCTGTCAATATACTTTCATGGTCTTTGCTAAACCCAGGGCTGGTGACTTACTTCGTACGGTGTTCCATAGCACAATAATGTTTTCATATTGGTATGTTGTCGGTCAATCGGCGCGTAGTGCTTTCGTGTTCAGTGCATTGGTGGTAAAAAAAAAAAAAAAAAAAAAAAAAAAAAAAAAAAAAAAAAAAAAAAAAAAACATTCAAGATATAGATACAGAATAGGGTCTTTGTCCCATCAATATGCAATGATTGAATACTTCTAAATAAAGCAGCTCATCGGCACTGTCAGCTCTAGATAGAGTGATTGCCCGAATATACTAACCAAAAGAGGCTAACAGATAAGCTAGGCGGCTCACGGTTTAGCCACTTTAGGAAGGTCTTTGAGCATAGTGCCAGCGTGATACGCAGCGTGTCATCCGCCGGCTACAGGCACATCTGAGGCAATGAACTGATTTAAGCATTCATACGTTCTCAGTTCATCGAACTGTAGTGTAGGGTAATGATGCTGAATGAACACTTTTTCACCTCCCGAAATCTCCATCATCAACTCCTGCTCATATATGCAAAATGGGAAAACGTGTGCTTGTCGGATATGGAATCGACGTTGATGCAGTCAGTGGGTGGTACAGGCAGATCATACACCACATACCCGCGTTATTGTTACCATACTGAAATGATTTACCAGGATAAACTCCGAGGACGGTTCTGCACCGGACTTGACCGACGTATCACGTGGCATCTTCGGTGCGACAGTGGGCATCGACCGACTACTCAAATTGTTTGATCAAAATAACATCAAGGCATCTTGGTTTGTTCCGGGACATACGATTGAGTCATTCCCAGAACAAATACAAAAAATAAAAGAGGCAAACCATGAGATGTGTGTCTTCACTCGCCAGTTGGTGTAACGGCAAGATCACGGCTGACATTTAGCATAGTGGTTTACATGGTTACTCACATGAGCATGTCAATGTCTTATCAGATCAACAAGAGCGAGATGTGCTCGCGCGGTCTATTGAAGTCCTAACCAAATTCACTGGGAAGCATCCGAAGGGGTGGACCGCACCATCATGGAAGACGTCTCCTCGCACCATCAAGTTGCTCGAGGAATTCGACATAGTAAGAACGCATGCACTCACTATATGTCACAACATGGAAACCCCAAAGAAAACTAAAGTGGGCACATAGGAATATGATCATTCCTTTATGCATCATGACTCTCAGCTCTACTACGTCCCTCACTGCCATGCGGAGATTACTACGACCAATATATCCCAGCCCGCCGCTTCCTGGATGCTTCCGATGGGGAAGCTCACCCCCAGCAAAATTGTCGAGGTTCCCGCCAACTGGCACTTGGATGACTGGCCACCTTTTCAGCTTGAAGATGGCCCTTCTCATGGGTATGTCGACCCGTACGTTATCGAACAACTGTGGAAGGATCAGTTCGACTTCCTCTATCAAGAGTACGATACCTTCGTTTTCCCAATCTCGCTCCATCCCCAGGTTAGTGGGAAGCCTCAGATCATGCTCTTGCACCAGAGATTGATCAACTACTTGAACGCCCACGAAGGAGTAGAATGGTGTACCTTTGGTGAAATGGTGGATGAATTCAAGGCTGGAAGAATCGGCGGCGCTCAGGTAGCTGGGGGTGTTAGCTCATAGTATGGATACGTTCAGGACCCAAACCTCCACATAAAACCATACAACGACATTACCATGGCCATTTCGTGCGATACAGCCGTACCGGCTTGGTCAAGACCTCAGCTGCTATTTGTTGATGGTGTAAAACGTGTGGTGACTTGAGTTATGGGGTGTCCAAGTGGTCTAGACGATAACGGACTTTTGGTTGAAACATCGCCGTGGTCACCAAATCATATTTTCTTATTCTGTGTATGATATAATCCATGAGATTTTAAACTCATCTAATAACTTGTAGGTGAAGGCTAGGATGTATGCGGAGCTTGAAGTACTTATTAATGCATTTTTTGAAATGGAAGTGAAAAAGTCTTGCTTGAAGTACAGTGTAATATGTGCTAGCTGGTAATAAAAAAGTAAGAAGGGAGCAAACGCATTCAGTTACTTCAGGGATACAGGCGCTCTGCACTGATATGCATGAGAGAGTCGGAAGTCGACCTCCAGGTCAGAAACAGTCGATATATATACCCTCCTCCCCTATAGTTTTGGCAGGTTCTTCGATTCCCCGCCTGAGCAACAGGCTGGGAAGGCATTCCGGGAGATACTGTCGACACAGAGCGCCGACGGCGGAACCCATAGGGCAGGATTCCTCTGAAAGAAATTAGATGCGCGGAGCATGACGCTCACCGGTTCAACCGGCATGATGGGGAAGTCTTCCGTGCGCGGAAAATGAGTGAGACCGAACTGGACATAGCACACGATGTCGGTATTCTCGATACTCTCGTTCCGGTTGGCCCAGTCTTGAATGGTCAGGTTATCCGGATGGTTTTCCTCGCCCGTCGATTGACAGACGTAGTCACCAGCTGGATACAATTCGTAATCCTTGTAGGGCAAAACCCATAGCGACTTCCGGGCGAAAGCGGCACGCTTCCAGACCACGCTACCGGGTTTAGCAAGGAGGGCAGGGCAAGAGTTATTGACGATCTTGAAGGCAACAGGTTTCTTCGAAACTTTGTTGAGTTTATTTGGATTAATGATGTCCCACGACCGACTTGTCTCATGATTATAATTCGTCGCGCCTTCGAGAGCAGTGTGAAGAGGCGTCTTTTCGCAGTAAAACCCATTTCCGTAGTAGTTCTCTGAAGAACCAAGAGGATGCTTGGATACAACAGCGTCACTTTGAAGGACTGTATTGTTGTGACCGTCTATTTCAGGGTCGACACGCAAGGAGAATATGTGCTGATGGTTCTGGGCAATAATGGCCGGCGCAACTTCGGTGCCGTAGGGGGAGGAAGCGGCCTGTTCAGAAGGGTGCATGCAGTAGGTGTTTAGCATCCCAGTAAGTTTGACCTCGAGCTTATATGTTCCATCCAAAGTGAAGGTATGGTAGAAGCCGTACTCGTAGTTAGCCGCGGTGATGATTTGGGAGATGATAAGCTTGCGGTCGCGAGCAGACACGACGGTCCCATCACGGTAGTCGGTATGTTTATATAGAAGGCCGTTGTCCTCCTCATGAATACAAATTGCATTCTTGATCACCGCAGCCTCTCCTTTTCCGGTACATAGGACACCATCCAGATAGTGAATAGCTCCCTTGCAATCACATCCTAGCTTGAGCGAGTTCGTCATGTAGCCCGAGCCGTACTCACCCAGGTCGAAAGCATGTTTCTTGTGATGGGGTGTTTCTGGGCAGCCGTATGGAACAACCATCTCTACCACACTGATACGGTTGAACAAGGCACGATCCCGGTCTTCGTAGGGATCATGCATGCGGACGTCGGAAATCACAATCCCCTCACGGTAGTTGAAACCAATATGCATTTTATATCCTGCCCAGGTAAGTTCATTTCCCTGTACCTGGAAGGATACGCCCTGGGGCTGGGTGATATCAATCGGCTTTAACGTGTCGTGCTTGTACTTGTCGCCAATGAAATTCGGAAGGTAGTGGTGTTCCGTCAGCGGAATGGCTGTTCTCTCCCCATTGACATATCGGATGTCAACGCTCAGAACTTCTTCCCTCTCGGTGTCAGCGATGACGGTGAAGTCTAACGGATGGGCATATTGGTTGTCAAGTGCGTGATTACGATAATAAGCTAGGCCTTGCTGGAGACGGCGCTCGAAGCCCCAGCGCTCATCAACACCAATGGCCCAGCCGTCAACGAAAACCTTCGACATATCTGTAATACCAAGACCCCTGCACGCTTCAATCACCCGAGAATCCTTTCGGGAGATCCGTTCCATTATGTCCAAGTCCTCTAGGGTCAATGTGGGCATGACGTTCTTGACCTCCTTCCAGCGTTCAACCTTGGACTTGGTAAGATTGACGACAACTTCGCTGATCTGGCCCGACCCTTGTTGCTCGATGACTATAGCAAAGGCACGGCGGTCAGGCCGGCTAGCATGTCCCTCCTTGTAGGCGACATATTCCGATTTCGTTGGCTCGCGAAGAGTGATGCAGTTGAATTTGAGTAATTTAGGGCTGGCCCATTCACGTATGAGCTGAGCGGCGGCGGGGATTTCAGTGATTGATAGCTGATCTGGTATATCTGATCAGATTCGCAGCATCGAGAGGTAGAATCAATATCATCATACCTAATACGTGGGGCACTCCGTGTGGAATGAGAGCAGCAGCGGACGCGGAATCATAGTCTCCTTCACGGAAGATGGTGTAGCCAGGAATAGTGTTAATATCGGGAGCCATGATGGTGTCACAAATGCGCTTTAGTTTAAGACAATCAGATGCCCTTAATGAGGCCTTCTAGGGGTTGTTAAATATAACATCCTGGAAATTGATCCAGCGTAAGCTCAGGCGACTGCCAAAACCAGAAGATTGAATTTGTTGCTAAGGATCATCCTCATTGTGTTAATTATTCGCAATGCACGTTCCCGAAAGTCCCGAGAACACTGTATCTGTAAGATTAAAGAGGAAGGTCCAATCGAAAGGCTAGATCTGCTAAGATCTCTTGGCCCACAAGCTTCTCATGGGGATCCACCACAGTCGTCGTCTTTCTTCGGTCTTTATGACCAAGAAGATTCATGTCGCCAATGGCTATGTATCTATGTTCTAACCGCGTTTGGGTAACAATGGCGGAAGCGTATCTACTTGGCACCGGGAAAGCCACGCTAACCTAATACCGTACGAAGGCAACATCTCAGGCACCTTCCGTTTTGGGGGAGCATTGCCGCAAATTTGCTTTATTGAGCAATACCAAAGACTTTTGTTCTCGTATGGGAAGTGGTAGTCAACGATGCAACTGGAACAACTCCCATGTTTGATGTTTGATCGGCAGGCCGGTGGAAGAGAAGATTAGGTGAAACGGAAATTGCGATTTACTATGAACATCCAATGTCTTCAGATATGCTCAAGGACCATACCGAGTGAGTCAAGTCACTCTGTTATCCTGCATAATTCCAAGCGGCTCGTGTTATCTTCTAAAGTTATAGGTATCTGAGAGCCTGTTCAACGTCAATGTCCGCAGCATCTATATCCATTCCCGATGTGAGAAAGAACGGCACCGATTCAATGGTGATCAGTGGTCATTTCCAATACGAACGTTCTCTGGCCAGGAGCCACACAGACCTGGTATAATATATTCAAGAACGGTGTCTCTTCTGTAACCAAGTCTATAGCTCTTGAGTTTACCGGAATTGATATTAACTTAACACTATCCGGCCCACATCGCGAAACACTTCTATACTAAATAAACCTATCAAGGTTCCTGCAGCCATGGCCATCGTCGCCGGGAGTATGACAAGCAGTCTATACTCAGGCTCGCAGACGCCTTTATTGCGGGAGGCCATGAGCTTGCTGCTAAGATCGCGGGCCCAGCCGCCCATCACAGTGCCGAGAACGGAGCCGATGAATGGCGCAATGCCAGTGAGATTGTCGACGGCGACGGTAGACATGGACCAGGGAGGCGCGGTGAAGATTTGCGATGCGACGGTGCTGAGGAGGATGGTCCAGGTGAAGATCACGGACCACATGATGCGGTTTTTCTGAGGGCTGGGGAGAAAGGATTGGTGGAGATTGGGTTGAGGAGGAGGGATTCGAGTTTTTGGGATGTAGGCAAGCAGGAGTGGGTGCTTGCTAGGGGTGTGTATCGGTTTTGGGTTGGGGCTAGTAGTAGGGATTTGAGGGGGTGGGTGGAGTATGGAGTTGCTTAGATTTTTGGTACTGGGTTGGGTACTGGGTATATTACATGTGCTGCAGGGCAGTTCGGGCGGTATCACTTCAGTTAAGATGCTGACCAGGAAGAAATGAAGTACTAGTATACACATCCTATCATTCAATCATACACACGTACATGCATACATACATACATAGAAACCTACATGAATAGAATGAAAGGGCTTATCAAGTCCCCGTCTCTGTCTCAATATCCGGTTCCCGACCCGCCAAATCACCAGTAAACTTCCTCTTCACCTTCCTTAGCGAATACTTAGCCTCGTCACGCGCAAACACGGCATTCCGAACAGGTCGCCATTGCATCTTACCGCGGTGTTGACGCTCCTCGCTGCGTTTATTCGCCTTCTTAAGGGACCCGTCATCTATACTGTAGATGCTGGGAGGCCCGGCACTGCTGCTCCCGCCGCCAGTGGACGTTGTACTTTGTGAGACGCGTTGCTGCTGATGGGGGTAGTGATCGTCGTCGTTGTCGTCCTCGGTTTCGCTGGATGAGGAAGATGCCTCTTTCTCTTCTTGCTCTTGTTCTTGGGAGTTCTGGTGCCGGGCTTCTTCCCCGTGCATGGTGCCGTAGGACTGGGCGACGGTGGGAGGTGGGTTCACGGGGTCGTGAGGTGGTGTCTCGCGCCCCGGTTCGGCGACTTGGTGGCCGTGGTTGTTGAGATAGGCTCCTGGGTCGTGGCCGAAGGCGCCGCTCCAGTCTTGGCCTTGCTTGTCAATCCAGCGGCGGCGTTCGCGGGGCTCGGCGTGTTTGAGGATGTCGCGGCCGTCAAGGAGGGATTGTTCATGCAGCCTTTCGAGATCCTCGGGGATGTCGGAGGAGATGCGGCGTTCGCGGACACCTTGGGCGATGCAGGCTTCCCAGGTTTCAAAGGTCTCGCGGGATTCGTTGTCGATGACGTATTGTTCGTGGGAGTCGTCGATGCCGGGGCTGAAAAAGCCGTGGAATTGCAGGCGGCCAACTTCGTGCAGGTCCTCGAGGCCCGGGCTGCGTTTGATGTGGCAGTTCTGCTCGGTGATGTAGTTTTGAGTGAGTCGCTTGCCGTTCTTGGTGACCCAGATGGGGATGTCGATGGCGGTGTCTTCGTTGTCGGCCATGTGTTGGAGCCAGTAGACGGCATAGGCGGTTGTGTGGTGGTGGCCTTGTTGTTGGAATTCAAAGACGACGGGCGATCGGTAGCGGTGCTTGACGGGGAGACGGATGGCGCGTCGGTAGTCCTCGTTGGAGAGGTCGTAGGTCATGTTGGATCCTTCGACATGGCACACATGACGAGTGATCTTGCCACTGCTGCCGCCGGTGCGGAGGCGAATCTTGCAGCGATGGTTGAAGCCCTTCACGGTGACCTTGTCGGAAATGAAATGGAAGGTGCCGACATCCCAGCCAAGCATCTGTGGGGGAAGACGGGTCTCAACGTGCCGGAAGAGAATGGAGATGCGAATGCGTCCAAAGCCGATACCGCCAGTGAGAGGGTACCATCTGGTCACTTGTGAGCTGTTCTCGAGGAGCTCCGAAATCTTCAATGGCACCACGCCGAGGATAGGATCGTGCTGGCGATATCGTTGGTCGCGGACGCTAACGGTAACGTAGGCGGACCGCCAGTCTCGGACGAACCGTTCAGTTCCAGCGTTGAAGATAGGCTTGGAGCTTAGGGCTTTTGCACGAGTACGGTAGATCTGCGAGATGTTAAGCGAGTTGTGAATATAAAAGGGGGTATGTGGGGATAGCTTACTAGCTCGTCATTGAGAATGATTTTACAGTAGCTCGTAGGCAAGTTCTCTCCAACCTCCTCTTTTTGCTCGCCATACGGTTTGGCTGGCTCATAGTCTCTCCCCTTGCGGTTACCGTGACTGCCTTTGACGTTCTCTATCTCTAGATTCACGATTTGATGGACCACAATGCTCATGATTCCACTCGGCCATAGCGGATCTGGTGGGGTCTTGGTAATGGCGTCCTCTTGATCGGTACTGATGACACCCTTTTCGTCTTGGAACTCAGGAATGTCCTTGAAGTTCTCCGGTAGATCCTTCTTCTTGCCGTCGGTCCTCAGCTCGGCTCTCAGCTTGGGTTTGCCGAAAAACCCGACCTCCCAGTGCAGTTCTCCCGGCATTTCACTGCCCTCGTTGAGGCCCTGGAGCTTGGAAACCTGAGCATACATCTTGCCCGGGTGTTGGATCATTTTGCGTATGGGCAATTCCACTTTGCCGACAATGTCGTCCGCGGTGGTCCGATCCGAGTCCCAGAGTTCGACACTCAAAGCTTCGTCCGCCTTGATCAACTCTGGCGTTACGAGCAACGCCGCGGTTTCTTCCCAGACGGGGTTCAGGTCGTCGGTGATTACTCGGGTACAGTACATGGGCTTGCCGTACTTGGAGAAAGAGAGGTTGATGTAGGGGTCACTGCCGCCGCCATAACTTCCACGTCGGTCCTGTTTGCTCAAGCCAATTGCACGATGGATCCGGATCCACATGATGCCCAGTGCCTGGGTCTCTTTGACGATATCGTCACCCTTGAGCATCATGCTAAGATCCATAGTCATTGATTTGGGAGCTGCAAACAGACCGCTGGCCGTAGCAATAGCATAGTTGACGAAGTTGGAGATTAAGGGGAGGTTCAGGATATTTACACCCCAGTTGACCATTGGCATACAACCGGCCCTAATATGGGGAAGTCCAACAAGACTAAACGTCACGTCTTTCATGAACGGGGCCTCTGGCATCATCTGAAACCTGGCGCGGACGGTGCCTACCAATTCGTTTAACTCCACGAAGACCGGGAATGGAACGCCAAAGAGGCCTTTGATTCCCAGGTAGAAAACGATCTGCATGTGCATGTTGCGCGCCTTGGACGAAGTGGTTTGTCCGCTCGGTTTCGCGTGGTAGGCAAAGGAGGCCTCGATGTTGTAGTAGCTACCGCCCTCCTCAGCAGCTGCCGCCTCCTGAGGGTCTTTGTTCTTCACGTTCTCCTCGTGGATGTGATCCTTGAGTTGCTGGACATGAGAGTCCGGAAGAGACCGCAAGCTCAAGATTCGGATAGGGTTGTTTCCCTGATCAATTTCCGCAATCCGAACGTTCTCCACTACACCAGGCGCAGACGCCTGCATGATGTCTTCGATGGTATCCGCAACGGGTGTCAGCATCTCCGGGTTGATGAGGCCCCAGAAGACCCCGAGAAAAGAGTTCATCCATTCGACCGACTCAGGTAGGAGGTTTGCAGTAGCCTAACAGCGTAACATGTAAGTTTTAGTACTTTAACGGGGAGCGGAAACTTACCATTTGGCCTCTGATTTGCTCACTACTCCATTCCATCTCCCGGCCGCTGCGAATGAGTTCTTGTATCCATAACCACACACCACTTGCAACACCGAATGATAAAGGCAGTAGGCCCCAGAGCGAGCCACCACACATCCGACCAGTAAAGACAATGGCAGCAACAATTCCTAGGCACAGGCCGATGCCACGGCTCTCCAATTTGTCAAACATGGGTTTATAGGTGACTGTCGGAGTAGGATGGAAGAGGATGTTGGTTTTCTCGCCATGAATAGGAACATCTGACGTAGTGCCTTCTGCGATTGGGTCGGGGGGTGCGGTTATATCTTGGTTTTCTTTATACTGGGAAAGGCTTTGGTTGGGTTCAGTTTTAACGTCCTACGAGATTTCTTAGCTGACGTTCAGTGTTAGATGAACAAATTTATATAGACTCACCGTTGGCTTTCCAAGATTAGCATTTGGGACGACCAGCTATGATTATCATCGGTTAGTGGCATGTTCTACCATTGCCAATGGGGTATGGATACCTTCGGATCCTTCACTGCTTCCATGGAATCCTCGTCGAGGTCCTCCACTTCAATATCCTTGCCAGTCGTTGGATCGGTCACCATGCGAGTCTTTCCCGTTGTCTTCCGGGGCTTGTGAGCCATTTCCTCTCCCTGTTCCTCCTTCTCCCGCCGCTTGGCCGCCAGGGCTTCCTCATGGGCCTTGCGCTCTTGTTTATCCACCTCTAGACGCTGTAGGAACTTGTCGATGGTCGGGACAGGGTTGGCTCCGCTCCAATGCTCCCCGAAGCGGTGAGTCTTGGGTGACTCCCGCCCAGGTTGAGCCTGCGACATGGTTGATAGTGATGGGATGATCAGGTACGCAGGTAAGCAAGAGATATCAGAAGTAAGGTGAGTGGGTTATCATCCCTAGCTCCGTGAAGCCGGGACCGCTGTTGATATGGGAAGAGAGCAGGAATAATGAGAGGGAAGGAAATCTGGTTGTAAGTCCTCTCTCATGCGATGTCAGCCAAGTAAGGTGAAGTCAGAGCGAAAGTCAAGGTTGGCCCTGCAAGACTGGACTACGTCATTGTGGAGGAGGCGCTGCCAATGGAGCTCGGACGCGTCCGACTATTTGCTGGCACAGGGCTGGGGGGATATCCCGAGCATCCAGACCGGATCTGATGTCGGTCTATTTACCTTCTCCACCGGATGGATCTATACCAAGTCGAGGCTGGCTGCATCCTCTTGTTTTCCGTCATTCATGGCGGAAATCTGGAGCTTGGCGTGGATGCCGGGAATGGCGGACTTTAGAGTTGGATCCAAAGAAGGATAAGGCTGACCGTGTACTAGCTGACTAGTAGCAATCATCATTTGGAAATTGAGATGCAGTCCCCAATTGAATGGGGATGGGTGTTGAGGCTTGCTGCATAGGCAATTTTCCTTCAAAGTGATGATGGATGATGGGCAGATGTTCGAGGTGGTAAGGGATGATGTCATCAATGATACCAACATCTGAGAAGGCGATCAAAGAAGTCAATTCAAAAACCCCTGTAATTCATATGCTGATCCCAATAAGAATAGTAATTATAGGGCTTTGTGCTAGTGTGAATAAGGATCTTCCACCAGATCATACCACCCCATGAGGCACATGATTGTGGTGATTTTGTTGGAAGGGATTGGCCCGCCTTACTAGCCACAAATTTGAGGCACACAACACCTGAGACTCGACTGAGTCACGTTTTAGAATCTTTGTAATTTATTTATATTGTCGCATTCAACGTTTTGTACTCTGTAAATATCATTTCAGGATTCAGTTGCTGACACGCGAATGCAAAACCTTTGATCTTATCTCATCGGCAAGGGTCACCATGATATCAAATGCCCATAGTTTTCTCAGAACAAGAAGTTAATGACCAGGCTGAAAGTGAGCAAGCGTGGTACAATCTGAATTTACTTATCAATAAGTGGCGCGACGAACTCGGTGGACTTCAGAAGAAGGTTGGCTGCCTGCTCAGCGGTATGAGGCTGCTGTGGAGAGGAACAAATCCTTGATGGCCTACTAATTCTCCGACGGCGCCAGTCCAGATGAGCTAGAAAAGATGAAGCAACTGGTTGGCCGTTTCAGTATCACGACGGGCTTTACTGACATTTACTACTAAACGTATGTTTACTAGCAGAGGGACCCTTCGTGGTTAGGCTGGTGACTGATGATATATTGGCAGAGGGATATGTGATCGGCGACATGAATATTAGTACTCAAAATAGAATTACGAACTTTTCTCATAGAAGGCATTAATGATATTAATTCTACTACTTGGCACTGCCAGAGATCATATGAAAGAAAAACATCATGATGATGCAGATAATGATACTTACCCTAGAAATATATATTTTGAGCTAGTAGTAGTGTAGAAAAAACTGAAGCTTGATCCTCTATATTTTACACAAGCCATATTTTCGATTCATACAGTTAACAGCTAAGAGTACATATCAACAACTACTAGAACAGCTAATTAGCCACGAACATCCAAACGTACTCCGTACACCACGAAGATATACACACACAATCACGTGACCCCGTATACCAGCGGAGCCAACCGTCATGCGGCCACCACATCACAGATCATCAGCGATCACCGCCGCCGCAACAACCTGTGGCTCAATTTAGTTCTACCTCCACCTTCACTCTTATTCCCTGGAGCGGTCTCCAACTGCTCCCACCGACATCTTCAATCTACAATTTCCTAGAATAAATATTCACCTTCCCTGGCCCATTAAACAATTCACTCACACCAATTGAACGAACTTACGTCACCCAAAACACCAACCGGCGAAATCAAATCACCACAACCACCAACGAGTGAACCTCATATACATATACTGAGAAAAAGAAAAGAAACCGAGGAAAGAACAATCATGTCCTCAGCCGAAGAATCCCCCGCTCAACGAGCAGCCCGCCTGCGTCGCGAACGTCGCGAAGCCAAAATCAAAGGCGATGGAGCAGCTCGTCTAGACAAGATTACCAGCTTGAGTGGACGGACTCCTGCTAGTCGTATGTGGCACATTGTTTCTTTTCTCTCTTACGGAATAAAGTCTTAAGCGGACGGAAGAAGAAAAGAAAGGAATATAGTGTGTAAAGCTAACACAGGATTTGCTATGTACAGTCCGCGAAGAAACCTCTCCCTCTCCATCTCCATCCCCGGCCCCGGCCGCAGCAGCACAACCACAAGCTACCACTACGGCACTGAGTCCTAGCCCGAGCCCCGAACCCCGAACCACACAACCCTCTTTCCAAGACCAAGGACCCCAGCAGCAGCAAGAGATCGACCCCGAAACCCTTCAAGCGCAACAGGAGCTCTTCCGTGCCCTGCTCCGCCAGTCTGGCCAGCCGGGCGACTCACCCAGTGGGAGCCCAGGACCTCAAGCAGGAGCAGCAGGACCAGGAGGGATGGGAGGACTAGGTGGTGAAGCGGACGATCCGACGCTTAAGCTTCTTTCGAGCTTGATGGCTGGGGATACCAGTGCACTAGGCGAGGGTTCTTTGCCTGGAGGTCAGTCGCCAGCGGACTTACTGACGGGGTTGGGAGTTCCGCCGTTTGTGGCGAGTATGTTGGGGGAGGCGACGCGGAAGAAGAGTGATGAGGAGAAGCGGGAGATTCTGGTGTGGAAGGTGCTGCATGTGGTATTTTCTGTGTTGATTGGGGTGTATTTGTTGGTGTTGATTGGGTCGTCGGTGGCGACATTTGGGAGTCAGCCGCCGCCGCCGGCGACGGCGAGGAATCCGTTCTTGTTCTTTACGACGGGTGAGGTGGTGCTTACTGGGGCGAGGGTTATGATGAAGAGGGGAGGAGGGGGGTTGGGGTTGTGGGTGCAGTTAGTTAGGGATATTGCCAGGGATGGGAGTATTGTGTTGTTTTTGTTTGGGATGGCAAATTGGTGGCATCGGGAGTGGATGGCTTATTAGATAGGGAGTAGTCCGTAGTGACTGGGGGATTGGGTTTGCATGTGTTTATCTTTTCTCTTTGTGGTTGTTATGGCATGGATGTTTCTGCTCTGCTTAGGAATATATTATGCGATTCTTGCATTTGCATGTGAAATCGTTGGCATAACGTTTGATAGTTTGATGCTTGCTGGGGTGGTTCTTTTGCCATCGACTAGTATCCTAGGCGGATGCAGTTGCAGTCGCAGCTCCCACGTGCTTGGGTGTAACTGTCCGAAAGTACAATCTAGGGGGTACACTTACGTGCGAGATATCTTGGTCGCCCAGTCCGACCCTTTACTATCGTAACGACTCAGTTCTGGCCCGGTTGATTTCTCCTTCGGACTCCGACTGGCCTGTGCGCTGGCTCCCAGAAACGAGGTTGAATTAGCTGTGAAAAGTTGAAAACTTCTCGCGGCGATTACCAATGTCCCACCAAACTTGGCCACAGCACAACGCGTACTGATCCATCGGGTGGACTAGGAAATTAATAACGGGCAGGGCCAAGACGTTATTAATTTGCACTTGCAGGGGGCTATTGGGAGTTTGGGACGGACTTTTCCTACCGCCGTGTTTAGTAGATGCAGGACGGGCCAGAAATTCGCCGTTTCTAACCATCCGAGCCCACACCGGTTGGCTACTAGACTAAAGTCTGGCGGCGGGCTCAGACGTCGAAATGGCAAAAGCGGACCGAGAAGCTTAGTGCGGCCGGGACTAAACTATAGCGCAGGCGGGAAAGGCCACGGCCTCTGGATCCTGGTTGAGAAAGGTAGGGCTCAAGCAGGATGGGAATGGGTCTTTTCTGAGTGTTGAGAGAAGGCGCATACTCTCACCGGTTGGGGTACGTAACCTGCTATACATCTCGAATGCAGTATGTATCCAGGCAATAACCAAGCAGGCGATTATACACCTGCAATATCTCGTAGAGATGCCACTCCGTGCAGGGGGCTACCGAGATAAAATGATTGACATTGATAAGCGGAAACGGGGGGTATGGTGGGCTTGACACCGTATCGGGAGGCTCCCTAGAGGCTGGGATAAATGAAGTGGCCGAGCCACCAGCGACAATTGAGGACGTTGATTTGCTAACAGATAGAGGGTCTCGATTAGCATGAGGGCTCTGTAGTCGGCAGTGTGGGCAGGGACTAAACGGGACACCCGGGACCCGAACGCACTCACCTTATTACCACACACGGACGCGAAGGAGTAAGGATTGAAGATCTCTCACGGGAGGGAAACGACGAAAGGGACGATGTATCCATATTCATGGGCACAAGAGTATGGTTCCCTTGCCGAGACGATGCTTGAAGGTGGACATGTTGGAGGGGCAGATTCGAGGCCTGCAAAAGGTGAACGGAATTCTGCCGGACGGCCTCCACAATATTAATGCTTCTAGTTCTGATGGTGGAAGTTGCTCCGTAATGGCATTATAAACATGAACAAACCGTTCCTCTCGGATCGGTGGTCTAATCCACACCCAATCAAGGCGGCCACACCCACAAAGGTCCCCACAATCGAGGGAACTGTGGTACTTTCGGTCCTTAGTTGTGGTGGGGGGTGGTGTTTGTAGGCTCTCTTAGGGGAGTCTTGACTCTGCGCTCGTTGCGACATCAGTCGCGGGGTGATCTCCCCCCTGGAATGATGTGCCATCGCAGACAATGTTATGTCCATTACCTTTTTTTTTTTTTCTTTCCTGAATTCTGAATATTCGGCTGTCCAGAGAGACAAGATGCAGAGCTTCCAGTTCTCCGTCCAGGAAAGCTGGAGAAACCAAAGCCTAGGTCCGAGAGAAGTCCGCGGGAACGGGGAGAAGGAGCAATGAGCCAGGCAGCGATAGCCGAACCCCCAGCAAGCAGTACCACGGTTATCCCGATTGTCCCTCGACCCGCGCGTCGAGGAAAGTGTTTCGTCCCAGCCCAGCTGATCATCTGTCTTTACCGAGTGGGCAAAAATAGCAGACAATCCCCTTTTCGGCATTGTTGAGAGATGGGCAAGTCACGGGCAGCTTCATTGCCGTAATGGGTCAGTCTTCCTCGTTAGGGAAAGTACTGCCGTGACGTTCCGTAGCCTGGAGTTATTATTCCCCTTCTACAGTTATTATTGCTGAGGGAAGATTAGATGGATATTGCTACTTTTAGAGCACATGAAAGAAGAATCAAAGACATGAACTAATTCTCTGAACCACTAATATGCACCTTCCTTCAATGTGTTGATCATCATGCACACAGCCAAGTCAGGTGCATTGACGGACATCAATACTACTACCTGAGACACTGATATCTACCAATATGGTAGATGAACAAACAACAATCACTATCCAATATAATTTTCGGCTTAAACTGCTACTAGATATACTCATTTATGCTTGTGATCGCGATAATCGGGAGTACCTTTAGAGAATGACCATTCTATCCATCCAGGCCTCGGCTCTGCAAGGCCATCTATTTCCACGTTCTGTTCACCGGCAATATCTCACTAATGCAAGATGACCTTCCATTTACCTATCTCCCTCGTAATTAGTATCTCGAACTACTGCATCTTCCTGGTCAGCCCTTCAGGCACTGGCTGTGGGCCATACAGGGGGTCCCTAATCCGGTTTCAGTGAAACTTCCGCGAACAGCAGCACATCCATTGATCTAAGCGTCTTATTGGATCGCCCACCGGGGTATCTTAATAAGTTAATAGATAATACCTCTCCCAACGATGCAGGGGATGCTCACAGCGATCTATCGCTGAGGTGCATGTGGAAGGTGTAGTTAAATGCTGATTAGCTTGACTGCTATCTACTTCACCACCTCAGATTGCTCTCTGGATCTCTGACTGCTCCAGAGTACTCTGTAGATCCTCTCACTCTCCTTTCTCTCATCCACGGTCCCGTTGAATCTTACTATAAGCAGTTCCCTTCAAAAAGCGCAGCTAAGGTTTTGGTTCCCCCGCACGGTTCAAGCCTCGCATCCAGAATGGACACGTTCCAGTACTGATTGACCCCTCCGATCGGGGCGCTTGGCGAGTGTTCTTGTGATACCATCCCGCCATCCCCCGGAAACCCAAAAGTATCAACCCCCCGTCTGCGCGTGAGCGAATCTGGGGCAGAGCTGATGATGATGTTGGTTGGATGAACGCCACAGCATCACGGAGCTAATATCTCCCTGTGCCATTTCGTGCTATGGCGTACCATGGATACGAATGTGCACAGTGCTGTCGGAGGTGACCACCTAGGTTAACAACAGTCGCCTCTGCTGGAAGAATTACCTTAGTTGGCAATTGACGATTGGTCTGCAGTCCAATGATGGACAAGAACCGAAGTAGACTAAGGTCACAATCAACACCTCGCAGACGGGAGCGTCGCAATAGTGTACCGAAGTGAATAGGTCGGAGTCTCCAGGTAGAGGGGGGTAGGCGAATAACGAGATGATTGTTCGCTAGTTGATCATCGACTACTTTCCCCGGAGCAACGGAAACGAGAGCCTGTCAAGCCCCGCATGGCCGAGCCCAACCTTTGGCGGTGCGTTTGAACTACGCCGAACTAGTCTTGGATAGTGCGAGCGAATGCAACGGACTGGGATTGCAGCCGCCAATGCAGGAGGTCGTCTGTCCAGTGACATTGCGAGGGCCTGCCGGGAAAAGACTGTCCCTAGTCCGTTTATCGATGACCCGCATCCAGAACAATCCTTCCACCCTCCCCCCTCCCCCTCCTCGCAACCCGTTCATTTATGTTAATTATTATAGTAATAATTATTGTTATTATTATTGATTTATTATGTTACAGTAGTCGTGGCTGTCCCGAGTGTGGAGAGGCGCTTAGAGCGACAAGCATGACTAGTCAGGTATGTATGTAGTATGTATCATCCATGGTGGGAAGTAGACCAGCGCCTCCATACGGCATCATGATCTCAATTCAATGGAGGAAGGAGGGAACAATTGGAGGGGTAATACTGCTCTGGAACTCACACCCGGTAAGATCTAGGTTAATCTGCATAGCCGATCCAGAAAAGTAAGGATTGAACCCTGGTCCGACAAGATTAATCATACCTACGGTCGCGCGGAAGGGAAAGAAGGTTGACTTGGGGTAAGTAGGATGGACGGATGGATTAAGGGGAGGAAATAGTAACTAGGTGGTAGTAAAAGTAGCAAGTAGCGAGTAGTACTGAGGAGGTACCTTAGCAGCCGGGAGCAGTACAACCTTGGCCAGTGTGAAGCTACGACGGTACCAAGCCTGAACCAAGCCTGAAGTAGCAGCGCGCCTCCACCCGGACACCGGGGGAGCGGGACTCCTCTCAACAATTAAAATCATAAACTGTCTCTCTCTAAAAGGGACATCCCTCTTTTCAGTTCGGGCATTGGGTTCAATAAATAACTGTCTCTCTTCCCCATCCTGGGCACCAGTTGCTTTTCTTTCCCCCCTCCCTTCTTCCTCTTTTTTTCATTCCCAATCTTGCATCTTTCTTTCTCTACTCCTCTCCCTCTCCCTCCTCTTTCTCCCTCCTACAATTCTCCCCTTTGTAATAAACCCTCCTCCCCTTGCGCGAAACTTTGCCTGAACCCCACCAACCAGCAATTCTTTTGACAAGTGAGCTTAATCCCCCGCCCGCAAACTCACGTGCACTCCGGTGCCACGAATTGAACCCCTCGCCCTTTTGCCCACCAGAAAAGAGGGCTACCTTGTAATTGGAATGTGTCCGTCCCTTTCTAACATTGTACAGCTCAAACACACATTTTCGTTGGGACACAAAACATGGCCGACGGCAGTGTTATGCCCCCCAAGTCCTCCGTGGTAAGAAATCGCGCGTATTTGGCCGAGTTATCGCCGGGTCTCCGTGCTAATCCCGTTGGTTTCAGGTGGTCGAGGCCCACGAAGTCGACACCTTCCATGTCCCCGAAGCATTCCACCAGAAGCACCCGACAGGTACCCACCTGAAAGACCTTGACGAGTACCGGAAGCTCTATGAGGAGTCCATCCGCAGCCCAGACACTTTCTGGGCTCGTATGGCCCGCGAACTTCTTCACTTCGACCAAGACTTCCAGACCACCCACAGTGGGTCGTTGGAAAATGGCGACAATGCCTGGTTTGTTGAGGGTCGTCTGAACGCCTCCTACAACTGCGTCGATCGCCATGCCTTCAAGAACCCCGACAAGGTGGCCATTATCTACGAGGCCGATGAGCCCAGCGAGGGCCGCACAATCACCTACGGTGAGCTCCTGCGGGAGGTGTCTCGTGTTGCCTGGGTTCTCCGCCAGCAGGGTGTGAAGAAGGGTGACACCGTTGCTATCTACCTTCCCATGATTCCCGAGGCCATTGTCGCTTTCTTGGCTTGCTCTCGTATCGGTGCCGTCCACTCCGTTGTTTTCGCCGGTTTCTCCTCCGACTCTCTCCGGGACCGTGTCCTGGACGCGGGCTCCAAGGTCGTCATCACGACCGATGAGGGCAAGCGTGGAGGAAAGGTCATTGGCACCAAGCGCATTGTCGATGAGGCTCTGAAGCAGTGCCCTGATGTCACCAGCGTCCTGGTCTACAAGCGCACCGGCGCCGAGGTTCCCTGGACCAAGGGCCGTGATGTCTGGTGGCACGAGGAGGTCGAAAAGTACCCCAACTACCTTGCTCCTGAGCCGGTGAACTCGGAAGACCCTCTCTTCTTGCTCTACACCTCCGGATCCACCGGAAAGCCCAAGGGTGTCATGCACACCACGGCTGGTTACCTTCTGGGTGCTGCCATGACCGGCAAGTATGTCTTTGATATTCACGACGATGACCGCTACTTCTGCGGTGGTGACGTTGGCTGGATCACCGGCCACACGTACGTCGTGTATGCGCCTTTGCTGCTTGGATGCTCTACTGTGGTCTTCGAGAGTACCCCGGCTTATCCCAACTTCTCCCGCTACTGGGACGTGATCGAGAAGCACAAGGTGACCCAGTTCTACGTCGCACCCACTGCCCTGCGACTTCTGAAGCGGGCTGGTGACGAGCACATCCACCACAAGATGGCACACCTGCGTGTCCTGGGCTCTGTCGGTGAGCCTATTGCTGCCGAGGTCTGGAAATGGTACTTCGAGGTTGTCGGAAAGGAAGAAGCCCACATCTGCGATGTAAGTGAATTATCGGTTCTCGTTGTTGGGTAAGGTAGTCTAATACGCTTCGACAGACCTACTGGCAGACTGAAACGGGTTCGAATGTTATCACGCCTCTGGGTGGTATCACCCCGACGAAACCCGGAAGCGCGTCGCTTCCCTTCTTTGGTATTGAGCCCGCCATCATTGACCCGGTCTCTGGTGAGGAGATCACTGGCAACGATGTGGAGGGTGTGCTTGCCTTCAAGCAACCCTGGCCGAGCATGGCCCGTACCGTGTGGGGCGCCCACAAGCGCTACATGGATACCTATCTGAACGTTTACAAGGGCTACTACGTAAGCGACATTCGCACCCCTGCGAGAAAATATGGTTCCACGGGCAGTAGCTGACTGACTTGCGCTTATAGTTCACTGGAGATGGTGCCGGCCGTGACCACGACGGATACTACTGGATCCGGGGTCGTGTTGACGATGTGGTTAACGTTTCTGGACATCGTCTGTCCACGGCTGAGATCGAAGCCGCCCTCATTGAGCACCGTAAGTTAACGCAAGAGACCGCCATCTATACAACAGCCACTAATCAGTAATGGCAGACATGGTGGCTGAAGCTGCTGTTGTTGGTATTGCCGACGAGCTTACTGGTCAGGCCGTCAACGCTTTCGTGGCCCTGAAGGAGGGCAACGAGACCAGCGACCAGGTCCGCAAGGATCTGATCATGCAGGTTCGTCGGTCCATCGGACCTTTCGCTGCCCCCAAGGCCGTCTACGTTGTCGAGGATCTCCCCAAGACCCGTAGCGGTAAGATCATGCGCCGTATTCTCCGGAAGATCCTGAGCGGCGAGGAGGACAGCCTGGGTGACACTTCTACTGTAAGAAAACACACATTCTTGCCTATGTTGGAAATGGAGACTAACTAAGCCTGTAACAGCTGTCGGACCCTTCGGTTGTTGACAAGATCATTGCCACGGTGCATGCTGCCCGCGGCAAATAAGATCTTCGCATGACCCGAATTCAAGACGAGCGATATTCACAGCCATGAAATGAAAGCGATTAATCAGGATGTTATGATGAGTTGATTAGCATTATTGGGTGGACACAGTTGTCCGGAGGCGCAGTCATATTCCTATAAACCCCGTTTAGTGATTCCCAACGTGTTTGAGAGATGAACATTAAGGTGATCGCTGATCACCTTTTCAATATACATTAACTTCTATTCTTCATACGAATTGTTTTTTGTTATCCAATGTAGCTTGGGGTGTTCCTTCACATGACAGCACTGGTTGTCGGGGTCTCTCTTCTCTATTACTGGTAGGTAGTTGATGGGAACGTCCAGGGTTACACCTTGGGAACAGTCCCTCATTGGACCGATATACTGATACGGCGTCGGGCTCCTCAGGCGTAGTTGCGGGAGTTAACATAACGTAACTATGCTGCATCAGTAGTGGGAGACTTGACACAGCTACTGTGAAGCCGGACACCATTCTAGGGATGTTATAGTTATCGGGATGCAAGCATTCAGTTCGATATTCCTTTGGCTACCCGGTCGGGCTCCCGAATCAGTCTCCGTCGCATCACGTGCCATTGTCGTAATGCAACGGTATCAACACCCGGCCACCCGGTCCCATTCCCCACTCCAGTGAGCACACCGCCCCGTCACGCCGTGACCGTACCATACCTGACATGGCCGACCTTCCCATAGTTAAGCGACAGCAACGAGCCAGTCAGGCAGGAAGGGAACCTGCCGTCGCTCTCCCTCTCTCTCTCTCGCTCTTCTCTTCCTTGGCTCTCGCAGCTTCTTCCCTCGACCACCGTCGCGCGTCCTCCTCCCTCTGCCTCACCTCGTCACTTTTTCCCCCGACTGCCACTCAAGTCGATTCCCTTCAGACTTGCTCACCTACTAGCTCCGACGGTACTTTTCCGTCTGTAGCTAGTGTGGCCTTTTTCGTCACTTTTACCCCTTCACCTTTTTTTTTCTTCTTTTCTTCCCTTCTCCAAACAAACACCCGTGCTCACCAGCGCGTCGACATCGTCTTTTCAAACTTACGCAACGTTGTCGCTTTATATTACGCTAGCGCGCTACGGTTGTTCTTTTTCGCAAAATATCCATTTGTACGGAGCTCTAATCATCGTCGCTCTTAACGATCTTCCGAGCCTTCCAACCTTCGATCGCAGACGTCCTTCGAACCGAATGACTCCCTAATTTAAAGCATCATCATTCAGCAAGATGTTCGGAGGTTTCGGACAAAACAACCAGCAAAGCTCCGGCTTCGGGGCAGGCTCTGGCTTTGGTGGCACGAGTACTGGTGGAGGTAGGTGTCTTCGTCTGGTTGCGAACCCCGTCCTCGGTTATCCCGGGTTACTTTTCTTTTCCTTTTACCTCGTCCCTTGAGACTCTCCGGTGCAAAAGGATCGGTATTTGCTGGTAGTTCCGAACGTCGAGCTGCGACCGTCCTATTAGGCTCCTCCCACCACCGACCGCCCGTGGATGGCTTCGACACCGGGACAAAACAGCAGCACTGCAAGAGAAGGGATCGCAGCTTCAATACAGTCTCTGACAGCATCTCCCCCGTCATCTAGGCTTTGGATCGACATCGTCTCCCTTTGGTGGCGGTAATACATCCGGTGGTGGCTTGTTTGGAAACACCTCCAGTAGCTTTGGTTCCGGTGGAGGTACGTGCCTGACGGCTATATCTCAGTGGGCTTGGCGATCCTTTCTCTTCCACCTGTGCCTTGGGGCGGACCCCTCGACTTTCCTGTGCTCGATCACCGATCCGTGACCGAAATGGCGCTTTCGAGGACCCTCACCACTGGCTCTTATGACAGAAAGTCTCTGGATTGGAAGTTCACGTCAAATGTCGTCCATTGACCGCCGGAGATCCATGGCCCAAGGATGGATTCTAATCAGATGTCCCAGGATCTGTCTACTTTGTTATATTTGTTAGCGAAACTGACTCAAGGTCTTTGTTATTCTAGGATTCGGAACCGGCACACAGAACCAGTCGACGTCCCTGTTTGGAGGACAAAATCGCACGAGCGGATTCGGAACTGGGACTTCGACCGGCGGAGGCCTTTTCGGAAGCGGAACTGCCACAGCTGGTGGTAGTAGCGGGTTCGGCGGCTTCGGGTCGTCCTCCAACACTGGCGGAGGGTTCGGCAGCACTGGCACTGGCACTGGCACCGCCGCTAGCACTGGGGGTGGCCTATTCGGCAACAAAACCGGGGGTTTTGGCAGCTCAGCTGGCACCGGTGGTGGATTCGGTACAAGCGGTGGCACTGGTGGCTTCGGCAGCACCGCATCGGGCTTCGGTAGTGGGACAGGGACTGCCTTCCAGCAGGCCATTCCTCCCTCTGATGGCACTGGAAGCACGCCGTTTAGTCCCTTCACTGAGAAGGACGGTAACACCACGGGGATGAATCACTACCAAAGTATCACCTTCATGCAGCCGTACAGCAAGTATTCCTTTGAAGAACTTCGCTTAGGTGATTACAACCAAGGCCGTAGGTTCGGCAACGGTAGTGGCCAAGCCGGTGCCTTTGGCACATCGGCCTTTGGAGGATCCGGCTTTGGACAACAGTCGACCGGCGGCTTTGGAAGCACTTCCACGCCATTCGGAGGCGGAACCAGTGCTCCCTCGACCTTTGGACAAACGCAGACGGCGGGTGGATTCGGATCTAGCACCAACTCCAACCCCTTGTTTGGAGCAGCAAAGCCGGCCACTTCCTTATTTGGGGGTGGAACTGGTACTACTGGCACCTCCCAGCCAAGCCTTTTCGGTGGAAACACATCTACTACTGCTACTACGGGTGGATTTGGAAGCGGCACAGGAACCACCGGCTTTGGTGCTGGAACCGGCGGATCTCTGTTTGGTGGCAGCGCCAATAACAATACCCAACAACAGAAGCCTCTATTCGGAAACAGTGGCTCCACCGGCACAGGTTTTGGCAGCGCCTTTGGCGCGCAGAACACAAGCACTGCCTCTCCTTTTGGTGGTACTGCTGCGACTTCCTCTCCCTTCGGCGGCCAACAACAGCAGCAAACCGGCACCGGCTTGTTCGGAGGTGGGCTCGGTCAGCAAAACCAAGCCCAAAATCAGCAGCAGACTCAGAACAAAGGATTGTTTGGCGGGTTCGGCTCAAACACACAGCAGCAGTCCAGTACCCCGAGTCTCTTCGGCAATACTGGGGCTGGCACTGGCACCGGCACGACTGGCTCTTCTCTTTTTGGCCAGAACACTCAGCAACCACAGCAGCAGTCGACTGGTGGATCGCTCTTTGGGAACAACCAGCAAACCGGCACAAGCTCCCTTTTCGGCGGAGGCCAGCAGCAGGGCCAGAAGAGCTTGTTCGGCGGCAGCACGCCTGCCACCGGCACCGGCACCGGCACCAGCGCATTTGGCGGCTTTGGTAATACTCAGAACCAGCAGACGGGTGGTGGTGGCCTGTTTGGCGGCGCCCAAAACCAGCAGCAGCAGAAGCCGAGTCTATTCGGCGGTGGCACTGGAACCGGTGGTTCTCTCTTCGGGGGACAGAGCACCACGACTCCGAGCGCCGGCGGTTCGCTTTTCGGTAACACGCAGAGTCAGCCTCAGCAGACTGGAGGGCTTGGTACTTCGAGCTTGTTTGGCGGCAGCCAGCAGACACAGCCCCAGCAAGCTCAGCAATCCCAACCGGCCCCTGGTAGCTTGCAGGCCTCTCTTTTGGACGGCAACCCCTATGGCAACCAGTCCATCTTCTCTGGCTTGCCAGCCCCGAGCGCTTCCAGCCCTGGCCCCTTGGCGACGCCGCTTTCGTCTGCCGCCAAACAGAAGCAGCGCACTCCGCTCCCTGTCTATAAGATCACCCCCAATGCCGCTAACCGCCTTCTTACACCCCCCAAACGCCAGGGATACGGGTTCTCTTACTCCACCTATGGCTCACCTTCGAGCTCTGCTGGTACTCCTAGCGGACTTGGTGGCAGCGTGCTGGGTGGAAGCCTGCGTGGAAGTGTCAATGGAAGTCTTGGACGCACCAGCTTTAGCAAGAGTTTGTCTACCAGCAATCTGCGCAAGACATTCGACCCCGACACCGACAGTGTCTTGTCGCCCGGTGCACTTACCTCTGGCAGCTCCCGTCTGTCAAGCGGCAGCCTGAAGCGCCTCACCATTGATCGTAGCCTGAGGAATGACCTCTTTGCTCGCCCAGCCAGTACCCCAGCTGCCCCGATCACCAACGGCGAAGACGCAGCACAGCCAGCCGATAAGATGAAGAAGAAGGTCAGTTTCGATTCATCATCGGATACGCCAGCCACTGGAGGAGAGATCGTTCCGGTGCAGTCTCAAAGCCCCGAGCCTACTCCGGAGGAATTGGGATTCCTGCGCTCCATCCGCAAGAGCAACACAGTCAATGGCCTCAACGGTATCAAGCCTAGCGAGCCTTCTATCCGTCCTGAGATGGAGTCTGTTCGTGGTAATGAGCTTGCCGTCGTCCCCGAGAATGCGGTGACGACCTCAACTACTCCTGAGGGTCCCTCTCGTCTGCCTTTCGTTCCCGGTGGAGACCCGCAACCGGGCGAGTACTGGATGAAGCCCACCCGCGCTGAGATCAGCAAGCTGAGCCGAGAGCAGCAGAAGAAATTTGTTGGCTTTACTGTTGGTCGTCAAAGGTGCGGCCAGGTGACGTTCGATGAGCCCGTTGATCTGACCACCGTGGACTTGGACCGCATTTTCGGCGACCTTGTAGACATCGGTGTGCGCAAGATTACCGTGTATCCAGATGAAACCATCAAGCCCCCGAGGGGCAAGGGCTTGAACGTTCCCTCCACCCTTCGCATCGAAAACTCTTGGCCTCGGGGTCGCGACAAGAAGTCACCTTCCCCTCTCACCAGCGGCCCCTTGTTCGATAAGCACGTCGACCGCTTGATAAAGGTGCACAACACCGAGTTCGTGGACTACGAAAAGGAGACCGGCACGTGGGTGTTCCGGGTGCCCCATTACACCACCTATGGTCTTGATTATGATAGCGACGAGGAAGAAGAAGGTGAGAGCCTCAACCAAAGCACTTTTAGTGCTGCTCCTGACACTCCGACTCCGAAGGCTCAAACCCCCGCCAACCCCGATACGACCATGGGCTCGGAGATGATGTCTGCCTTCTCCACTGATGACTCCTTTGTGGGTTCAATGGCTGGCGTCGACGATGATACTTTTGATTTCAAAAAGCGTAAGATTGTCCCGGGTGCGTTTGGCAACCAAATGATGGAGACGGTTGAGGACCAGCGTTCGGTTTCTGGAGACGATGAGGAGTCTTTTTTAGGGGAAGGCTCCACGGGTTCGACTATTGAGCAAGACGGCGATGATATCACCGAAAGCCAACATTCTGGCGAGTCACTAGTCGAATTGGATGAGGGCGAGGAAATGGACATGGCGGGCACCTTTCCAGACCTCCATCCTACCGTGGAGCGCGATGACACCCAAAGCACCGATACCTTTATGGAGACCACCCAGCCTGTATTGAAGCCTTGGAACACGCCTTCGAAGCCTCGTCTCGACCTTACTGGAGACTGGGCGGAGCATCTGCAACGCACCATCAGTCCCCGGAAGCAAGATCGCGATGCACTTCGTGAGATCCAAGCCAATGCCTTTACCGACCGGTCTCTCCGTGAGGATACCCCCAAGCCATCTGCCGCCGATACCAGGCAAAAGGGCTTCGCCACCAGCATCGATTTGATGAATTCTTTGTTTCAGCAACCACGCAAACAACAAGCCGCATCTCCTTTGAAGGCACAAAGCGTGCGGCCTAATGGCTTTGAGGTTTGACTCCTTCTTTCCCCTCTTATATCCCTCTATTATCCCTATAGGAAGTTGTATTGTAGGAAGTGATGCGATACAATATGACTTGAGCACTGTGAACCCTCGTTTGTCAATAGCCTAAACTAATACGATCTGTCCCTACAGTGGCCTTATAACAAGAAGCCCAAGACATTTGCTGGCGAATCCCACGAGCTAAGCGAAGACGATCTTGCTTTCCATCACTCATTCAAACCGCGTTGGGGCACGCTGAACTCTCTTCTCTGCGCCAAGAATGATATGTCGGACATGCAGGCGGTTGATAGCGTTTGGAGGCACAAGCTCTCTGTGACTAGCGAAGGAAGAGATGTGGCTCTCTTGGAATATAACACAGCCGTGGAACCGAGTGAGATGCTGGATGCCCAGAGGAAGCTGACTGCTGTTTCGCGTGTTGATGGTGTTCCCTTTGCTCGTCTGGCAAAGGCCGATTTCCGGGAGTTCGTGCAAGCTTCGAACTTGGTACAATCTGACCACGAGCGACTTCTCTGGCAGCTGGCCAACATCCTTTTCAACGACAAGACTGAGGATGATATTTCCGCTGGCGTGCCTCCCAATCTTCGTTCCAAATACATTCACCGTATCAAGAAAGACCGCCTGACCCGTCTGTGGGAGGGTATCGTACGTGAAAAGCATGCACAGGCTGTGGCCAAGGCCAGCTCAGCCGAGGAGCGTGCCTTTTACTTGTTATGCTCGCATCGGGTTGAGGAGGCTTGCAAGGTCCTAATTGCTAGTCAGAATTTCCATCTTGCGACACTGGTTGCTCAGATCGCGCGCGATCCTACGACGCGCACTGATATGGCCAAGCAGATTGAGATGTGGCGCCAGAACAATGTGTATTCTGAAATGAGCGAGCCCGTCCGAGCTTTGTACGAACTTCTGGCCGGCAACGCCCTTCGCAGCGAAGGCAAATCCACTGGTGCGCTGGAGGATCGTCTGTCTACTTTCACCTTCTCTGAGCGATTTGGGCTGGATTGGTTCCAGGCTTTCGGCCTTCGTCTCTGGTATGGTATCACCGACGATGAGCCTATCGAAGCCGCCGTCTGCCAGTTCGTGGACGACCTCTACGAAGGAAATGAGCCGGCCCTTCCGACGCCTTACAACCAGGAAGACATCGTTGATCGCGAGTCTCCTCTCTGGGTTTTGCTGAAAGTGTATGCCACGACAACTGGTGGAGCTGCTCGGACGGCCAATCTCCATCCACAGGAGTTCCCGGCCGTTCTCCTGCCTGAGTCGGTCAGCGGGGATAAGCAGTCAAGCCGGCTGTCTTTTCAGCTTTGTCACCTTCTTGCGGCAGCCATTGGGCAGCACGAAAGCTTCCAAGTCAACACAGCGCAGTTGGACCAGCTCGTGTGGGACTATGCTTGGGAGCTTTGCTGCAGTGGCACTTTGAACCGGGCACTGTTCGTCCTCCTCCACCTCTCGCATGCATCTGATCGCGAGCGTGCTGTGAAGGAGACTCTAGCCCGGTTTGCGCCCCAGCTGCCGGAGCCGGTCACCTCGGACGGCCAAACCAACGTGATGTGGCACTATCTCACGCATGATCTTCAGCTGCCCGAGAGCTGGATCTGGGTTTCGAAGGCGCTTTATGCTCGCGACACGGGTGATGCGGCACGCGAAGTGGACTGTCTTGTCCGTGGCAAGAACTGGAACGATGCCCACGCTACCTTCTGTCGTGTTGTGGCGCCAACTGCCGTGATTGAGGGCGACTATGGCACGCTTGAGATGCTGGTGACGGGCTTTGGCGAGGAACCTGAGCGAAAGGTGCGCGGCTGGGCCAATGGTGGTGGTATTTACGACGACTTCCTGCGCCTGGCTACGGCCAAGAGCGGCAAGCGCGATGCTAGCCAACTTGCCCGGTTAGTAAGTGCCTTGGTGAAGATGGGCGACAAGGTCAGTCAGGGATCGGGTGTGGAAGGATTAGAGGAACGTGTAGCCTTCCGGGAAATGAGCCGCGTGGTTGCCACTTGGACTGGGCACGAGGACTCAAAGGTACGTTGTTCCATTGACACGACTGACGAACATCCTGGTTCTGACAAGTTGCTACTTCAGGCAATCGAGCTGTCCAGCGTACTCAGTCTGCCTTTGACGGGCGATGCACGCCTTGCACAGACAGCCGAAATGAGTCGGCGGTACTACAGTCTCATCATGGCTGGGGGCTATTGATCTATGATTTCGGGAATTTGGGTGGAAGGGACTCCGTTGTTTGGATGCAGCATACCGAGTGCTGGTCGACGCTGAATCTTTGATATCTTGCATCTTTTTGTGTCTATGGGTTGACGGAACGACATGCAGCCATTGTGTAACTTAGATCCTGTTTTCACTTCTCTGTTGTTGTTCGTTGTGTTTCTATTTTCTTTTCCTTAGTTCTTGGATGCATTCCGTCCTCGGACTTTGCAGAGGGCGCAGAACTTTGGGCGTGTAAGTTAGCTAGCTGGTCCTTGTGAACGAAACAGTAATTGCGCAAAGTAATCATCTTGACATTTCCAACTCCACGAAGTAGCAGCATCTCCTTCAATTACGAGCAAATAGCCTAATTTCAACTCACCCCCAAATGATATCTTTAATAGAAAACCTCATCTGTTCTGATGTACACCTCCGCTCCTAATATGGAAAGTTTCCTTCTCAGACCTTATCCCCCAACCCTTCTCATTCTCTCCTTCCCTCTCCCCGGGTAATAGTACTCTATCTATCATCTTATAATTCTGAGCATGAGGCATCTATCTATTGAATTAAGTCTAGTAGTAGTGTAGTATAGTACCCACTACCTAAGTCAACAGCAATGATACAATGATTCAATCAATGAAGAAAAAAATAGAAATTATGACAATTTAGTATGACCCGAATGAAATCATTTATTCGTCTTTTGTGAGACTAAAATGGGGTAATAACGTAGACATTATCGGGTGTACTGGTTGGTTGGTTGGTTGGTTCTTGCAGTCGTTGATTATATGGTGGTAGTGATTGATGATTGTGTGTGTGTGTGTGTGTATGTATTTTATTTGTACTTAATTATTGAGTGGTGTATCAATGAGATTTATTGGTATATTGGTTTTTCTTTTCTTTTCTTTTCTTTTCTTTCTTTCTTTCTTTCTTTCTTTCTTTTTTTTTTTTTGCATTTGCATTTCCATTCTTGGTTGGTGAATTCAACAACGGTGAAGTTGATTCGATTCATTACCTACCGTATGGGCGTGATAAGATTCTCGTTACAACTAGACTAGTAATAAATTACTTTATGTCAAATATATGATGTTAATCTGGACTACTCTTTATTTAGTATTGTTCAAGTTCTACCAGCAAAAAGTAAACACCCTACATCTTCTGAAGGAGAAGAATTTAAACCAAAGAAAAAGTTCAATTGCTACCAGGACTGTACATGATCGAGAACCTAACACGACACGTAAGATATAAAAAAAGGAAAATATGAGATGGGGTTGGGTGGGAGACAAGGGGTAAATTGGAGAAGAACACACACACTCCCTCTAGAAAATCCAAAAAAGAAAAAAAGACAGAAAGATTTAGCAAAGATTAACCTCTTCTTTTCTCTCTCTTTTATTCTTTCCATCTTTTCTTTTTGGCTTTTTTTTTTCCCTCCCTCGCTTGCCCTGTTGCTCTATACCTGACGAACTGCAGGGTGTTGCGAGCGAAGCTATTCTATCCCCATAGTGGAAGTCGTACACACACACACAGAGAGAGAGAGAGAGAGTAAAAAGAGTATTGAGACAGGTTTATGGTAATTACATGCCAGGGGAGATCAGCTTGCCCTCAGCGCGGGCCTCCGGGTGCCAACCACCAGCGTAAGGTCCGTTTCCACCAACCTCCTTCGAGTACTCCCGGATGCGGGCCTCCAGCTCGGGGCGGAAGTGACGGATCAGACCCTGGATGGGCCAGGCAAAGGCCTCACCCAGAGCGCAGATGGTGTGACCCTCGACCTGCTTGGTCAGCTCCTGGAGCATGTCGATCTCACGCTCGCGGGCCTGACCCTTCTCCATACGCTGCATCATCTGCATGGTCCACTTGCTACCCTCACGGCAGGGAGTGCACTGACCGCAAGACTCGTGCTTGTAGAAGGTCGACAGACGAGAGATGGCGCGAACAATGTCGGTCGACTTGTCCATGACGATGACGGCAGCGGTACCGAGACCACTCTGAGAGTCCTTCAGGGCGTCGAAGTCCATGAGCTGGTCGTCACAAATGGACTTGGGAAGGACGGGAGTCGAGGATCCACCGGGGATGACAGCGAGAAGGTTGTCCCAGCCACCACGAACACCTCCACAGTGACGGTCGATCAGCTCGCGAAGGGAGATGGACATCTCCTCCTCGACGGTGCAGGGGTTGTTGACGTGTCCGGAGATACAGTACAGCTTGGTACCGGCGTTGCGCTCACGGCCGAAAGACGAGAACCAGCTGGCGCCACGACGCATGATGGTAGGGGTGACGGCGACAGTCTCGACGTTGGTGACGGTACTGGGGCAGCCGAAGAGACCGACAGCAGCGGGGAACGGGGGCTTAAGACGGGGCTTGCCGGCCTTGCCCTCGATGGACTCGATGAGGGAGGTCTCCTCACCACAGACGTAGGCGCCCATACCACGGTGGATGTAGACGTCGAAGTCGTAGCCGGTACCGCAGGCGTTCTTGCCGATAAGGCCAGCCTCGTAGGCCTCGTTGATAGCCCGCTGGAGGACGGTAGCTTCTTGGTAGAATTCACCACGGATGTAGATGTAAGCGGCGTTGGCGTTCATGGCACGGCCGACGACGAGGCAACCTTCGATGAGCTTCTGGGGGTCTTTGCGCATGATTTCACGGTCCTTGCAGGTTCCGGGCTCACCCTCATCGGCGTTGACGACGAGGTAACGGGGTCTGGGGTCCTTGTCCCAGTCCTTGAAGTTCATGAAAGACTGTACCACAGCAATTGAAGGTTAGACTGAAGCCCGAAGACTGGCTATGTCATCAATTAGTCTCGGTAAGGGCAACTCACGTATTTCAGTCCGGAGGGGAAACCAGCACCACCACGACCACGAAGACCGGAGGCCTTCAGCTCAGAGATAAGCTGCACAGATCGAACACATATCAAGTCAGCATTGGAATCATTTCCGCATCTTCCAGCAGTTCCGGGTCCAATGGACCCGCGAAGGGGCAGAGCCTACCCAGTCATGACCCTTCAGAACGATATCCTTAGTCCGGTGCCAGTCACCATACTTCATCGCCGACTTCAGATCAGCTCCATGGTGTCCGTAGAGGTTGGTGAAGATCCGATCCTGGTCCTTCAGACCGCCATAGTGCTTGACCGGGGGGGCGTTGTCCTGGACGGTCGCGAAGGAACGGGCGGCCGGGGCCTGGGCTCGGAGGGAGCGGGAGGAGAGGGAGGCGATGGAAGAGGAGGGAGCCGCCGCTCGAGATATCATGGTGAACACTGGCCCAATTGACTTGGGAGGGGAAAGGGAGGGGGGAGGAAAGGTGGGAGAATCGAGGATGCGTTACAAAGCCGTGGCAGGCGTGGTTTGGGTTGAGCTGCCCGTCGCGGCAATTCCTGCGCTTGCTGAATATCCGCCTTTCGCTCCTCCCTGATTGGTCCAGCCGGGTCACCTGATCCACGCTGACTAACCACCACAGATCTACTCGTTCTTTGGTTCTACATCGATTGCTATATTGATAGCTACCTAGTACTGGTAGCACTGGTCTTATATTTATTTCTATGTCTCATCTGTCTACTACTCATATGCCTCTCCGGGCACATATAGGTAATTCTCCGTCATCAGCCTCACCTGACCCCCACTTCCAGTCGCCAACAACTGCAGTGGATCGTCAGGAATCTGCACACACTCCTGCTCCCCGATCATCCATCCCCATCGCAACCAATTGGGCGACAGCCACCAATCGTCTTTTTGCCAGTCTCCCGTGTACGGGGCCAAACTGGTAAACACACCTGCGTTCTGTGACCTCATCTTCTCCAGTGTCTCGTCAAAGAGACTCACAATGTGCTCATCATCCTCGTCCTCCAAGGCCCAGGCCACATCATTCGGGGGCGGTGGGTAATTCTCCAGGAGGAAGCTAGCCCATCGGGACAGTCTGGGGGAGGGCTTTAATTCCTCGGAAGCACCAGATTTGCTAGCAGTGTGGGCTGCCGCAACCAGGCAAAGGAACATCGGGAAGGCAAATGGCGATGACCCACCGCTTCCTCTTAGCATTGGAATGGCGGATTCAGAAACTGACAAGATGTCCTGGAAGCAGGCCTTGCAAGGTTGCTGCATCGCCGTTGGGAGGAGGTCGGGCAATTCACCCAGGGTGAACAACTCCCCGTTGTTTGTAAGAAGAGACTTCCGCTCCAAAATCCGCACCTGCAGCCGCGAGTACACCTCTTCTGGGAACTTTCCGGTGGGGATTCGGCCCATATGGGCCCCAAGGACTCTCTTGGTCTCCTCCCAGGTCCCAGTGAAGTTATGTAGCCGCGCACGGTTCAGTGTCCATGCTGCGACAACTAGAGCGGTCTCAGACAACATGATCTGGCTGTCTCGGTATACTTTCGCATGGGTCTGTTTGAGGTTTGTCGGTGTCTGAAGATCTTCCCCTGACGCCCTGAGCTTGGCAGCATGTGTGACGACCTCAATGATAACCTGACTCAAGGCAGCAAGTAGGGCCCTAGAATTACCATAGACGTTTGGAATCTTGATGCCTTGATTGGTGATTTCGAGGGTTTCCAGCTCCCGGTTGTTGGCAGCCAGAACCGACACGGCGTCAAGCAGGGCAGGTGAGAAGATGGAATGCTCCATTGACATGTCAGGAGCGAGAAGAGGGTAGAACACGTTGAAGACGTAGTAGTGATCTTCTGGTTCCCCCACAGCAAGGTCAGGGTACATCTGCAGTTGATGGGACTTTGCCATGTAGAGGGGGCTTCCAGGCGGTGCTCGTAAACTGACAATGCGGTGGTCGCAAGGATTTCCGGAAATGCAGAAACCGTAGTTCATCATAACTGATATTTGTCAGTCACTAGCCACTTCGTGAAGCAGTTCTCCGGAGGGCACCTACGTTGCTCGTTATTCCGCGGTCCGTAATTGTTGCTGATCTCCTGGCCTGCCGACACGTCTTCTAGGACCACGAAGGCAACATCGTCCTTACCAGCCCGCCACTCCACCTTGGCTAGCGGTCGATGATTGCCCATATCGATGATGGGGAGAAGGACAGAGAGCTTCTCCTCCGACAGATCCGTTTCAGGAAAGACGCCAGAAAGTACCCTCGCCGAAAAGGCACGCGAAATGAACATCGAAGCTGCCCAGAGATAGAGGTCCCTACAAACACATCGCTAGTGTCAATGCCGCTCTGAACTAAGGCTTGAAACTGCAAGTAGCACTCTCGGTGGCCTACCATGTATACGCATCGGCACCCTCAAACCCAGCATTGCGCAACTCCGTCGAACCTTTCTCATACTTCTCCTTCAGAACCTCCAATCTCTTCTCCCTAGCCGCCAACAAGCTAGTACCATCCAACCATTGCAGATCTTCTCCTTCATAGTAAGGAGGAGTGGTCAAAGAGCCAGGCTGGGGCAATGTCCGAATATACGGGTACCAAAAGCCCTCAGTGCCACGAAGATACTGACCAATCAAGAAGAAGATGGTCGATTCCTTTTCTCCGACAGCATCAATAAACGACTGGGGGAGATGCAGGCCATGCGCCGAAAAGGAGATTGAGGGAGTGGACTGGTTAACAACATTGAAATAAGACATAGTAGTAGCCAAAGGCGTCTTGATGATGTGTGTGTCGGTGGGGACAGCATCCTTCCAGTCTTTCTTGACTTGGAGATGAACACCACGGCTTTCATCCTTGGCTATTTGGACGCTCTCGTGCAGATGACCTCCATTTTTAACCATCCAATTAAGCAGATCAAAGTAGATCTGTAGACTGTCATCATCGCCGGGCCTGGGGCTGCTAGTCAGATTATGGATTTTGTATCATGGAGTGGGCATGCGGGCAGCGTGATGGCGGGGGAGGGGTGAGCTGAATGCTTCACAGCCATTTATCATCATGCAGAATGCATAGAAGTTGTGCTTCACAGGTAGTATGCATATACATCCTTTTTGGAAATAGCTTAGACGGGAAATATGCATATACTGAGGCGATAATTTGACTCATGAAGCATCAGGCATAAAAAGCACCGCAACCCCGATGTCCGACCCGAAAACGTCATCGCGGAGATAGCAACGAAAATATTAGGGGAAAAAATAAACTTACCCCGAGGGCCCTGACGGCGCACTTGCCATGATCGCAAAGAAGAGTACTGGGGAATATACTACTCGTAAATAATCATATGAGCACTGCAGAATTCGAGAAATCCCCGGTACTGCTTCAGTTCCTCCGAGCGACGAAAGTTGCAGAAGCGAAAAGTGGGATTTTTGGCAGGAGCGGAAGGCAAGAATGGAAAGAATGAATGCGGCGTCCCACTTTCCCTCCCGCATCAAAATCGCCCATACATCCGAACAAACATAAGGTATATTATATAGTATGGAGCTACGAGCCATTTTCTCCAGCAAGAATGTAAACATAATCATTCAGATCGATCCTTATTGCCCGGAATTCCGCTTGGTCCGACTCGTTGAGGCATACAATCATGAACCGGAGCATATACAAAAGTGCCATGCGATCAAATAGTGTACATCATGGGAATTGAACTAATCCAAAAAAAAAG